AATCGAAGCAAAAAAGAAACGACTCGAAACGAATCGATTCGAATGAAAACAATCATAAAATAGTCGTATCCCAATCCCAAGATGAGCACGTGTATAAAAGCCGTGCTTAGGTCAACGGAACAGCCCGCAATAGTTGGCAAAGTTAAAGGCAAATGGGCTGTCCAAAAACTTCTGATGTCCACTCGAAGCTTGGGCAGGCACTGCAAATGAGGCTCAAATAGACCAAAGCTCTTTGATTACCATGACAATGTTCGTGTGTGTGTTTTGATTTGATAAGGCCAGGGCATTTTACAGATTGAATATACTAGATATATAAATTTGAAAAATGAATTTATGTAGACGTCACTCCTTCGAAGGCGATGCACATAATTCTGCCCAATTATGTTCCATTTTGTTATGCATTTTTGCTTGGGTCAATATTAAAGTTGCGCTAAAAGACTTTTCGGATATTAAACTATTTCCGAGGCATACAAAAAGCCAATTTAAATGCTAATATAAAACACCAACATTTTATTATTATGCCAGCCACACGCATTCACACTAAGGCACACGCATACAAGCACACATACAGCCGCACTCACCCACATAGAATGTTGAAATGCGTGGAGCAGCAAGGGACCTTGGCCAGGGGGCAGTAGAGACTGTAAGGGGGCGACCACTTGGGCTACGAAAGTTGCCTTGGGTTTTCCCGCACTGTGCGTGATAAGCCAAGTGCTTGGGCTGATTTTGGCACTAGCAAACACAGACAAACACACACGCACATGTTAATATGTACGTTTATATATTTAAGTGAGCATAAATCTATATACTCTCACGCTATGAGTGCAGACAAAAACAGAGAATCAATTCGTATACGCACACAGTTCAGTGGGCAAACGCACAGATAATTTGGGTATTTAAAGTAGCTACATACGGTTTTTATATTGTTAAATATAACATATATATAATATTGAATGCCCAACATATACCAAATGCAAATTTTATGTACGAGTGTCACATTAACGACTGTCTGATGCTCTGTAATATAAGAACAACACACTAACAACATCTGCTCATACGTTCAATTTATAGTAAAATATTTAGCTCACTATATAAGAAATTATTAAGTATTTTTGTTAGCTACAGGGAAGTTCAATTGGTAGAAATATTTTACTGACCATATGACCTTTAAATACACCATATAACAGAATAACATTCAGAAGTACAAGGCACCTGGCTCACCTGTCTATCATCGTCTCCAAGTTTCCATAGAGATCACGTCGATGCCTGCGTTTGATTTTGGCGAGTGCTGTGCTTGGCTTCCTTGTGTTCCAGCCATGGGCATTCTGCAGCACCCATGTGATATTGGGCAAATCATAGGCAACACCCCAATTCAGACCCATGCTAAGATACAACAAGTTGGGATTACCGAGGACGCCTGTGGTCAGGCAGACTGCGGCCTAAGTTGGTAAAGAATTTGGCTTAAACTATGCAGAAACTTTGATGCTGTGGTGCGTGTGTATTGTTTGTTGTATGTGTTTTGTGTGTTCACTTACAGATGCCGATGAACCCAAAGGAAATGCCACAAAACGTTTCCCCCTCGAGAGTTTACGCTGCGACAACGGCCTCAATGAAGCAGCCGGCGGTGCCAATGGGTCCAGTTCCTCAGCGGCTGCCAGCGTGGTATTGTTGACATGGTTTTCGTGATTCGTATGCGCATCAATGGACGTTGCCAGATGCGGCGATGTGGCAAACACATCCAGGGCATAGCTCTTGGCCCATGCATTCAATGATAGCTTGTGCTGGCACTGGCCCAACAACGACAGCAACAGCAGCTCCAGCAGAGACACCAGCCAAGTGTTTGACATATTCTGGCTGCGTATTTTTTTACAACTGATTCGAAGATTGGGCCTTTGATTTTGAATTTGAAAGGCGGCTTTAAATTTGCCATTCCCATTGATTTGTGGCCGATGCCAAGCTGTTAATTAAATTAGATTGCAAAACTGGTTCAGAGCATGACCCGATTCTCGTTGGCCTAGCCAGCGCAGTCAAATCGAACTAATTGCTTGGCCAAACAAACTTGCATTGCGGTCAATCATGGGCCGTATTCCAGGCCCAAATTGACTAGCCACGCAGTGCCTTAAATTCTTGGGCCAACTTTGCTCTTCAGTTCGGCAAGCGCCTGGTTCCGTACTTTAGTCTTTAGCTGTGCGCTTGCAATGGCCGTTATGGGAAGTCGCATATTCCGTTTGCTCCTGGCGTTGCTGTTTAGCTTCTCATTGTCTTTGGTCAGGGCTGGTAATAACAGCAGCTTTGGCTTCAGCTCCAACATCTCCGACAGCTCCAACAGTTCCAGCCGTGCAGTCAGTTATCTCCGTGAGAAACCACTGCATCTGCCGCACTTGCTGCAGCGGCAAAAGCGTTGGCTTATCTTTGAACTGGGCACCTCCGTCACAGTGAGTAACAATGCTTTAAAAGGATCTATATGTGCTCCAAGGGAAGTCATAAAATGGTTTGACATAATACCGTGTGAGCTTAATACAGTGTTCCTCAACGTATTTAAAATCCTAACCAAATAAAAATCTAAAGACACAATTTTAATAAAAACTTATATATTATAAAGTAGTTAAGAGACGATTAGAAAAAATTCAAAAAAATAATCAAATATTTTATTATTATTATTGTAATATTTATATAATTTCTTTTATTATTGTTATTGTTATAATTTTTGTTATGCCCCAAACGCATTGAATGTGGGGTATAATGGCTATGTCCGATCGCAGAAAGTAGATATATTCTTGGTCAGCATCAATAGCCACGTTGATCTAGCCTTGTCCGTATGTATGAACGCGGCTATATCAGAATTCATATAAACGAGAGACATGACTAAATCTCTTAGGTTTTAAGAATAGTCTAGAATAGTACATACACATCAAGTATCTTTTATTTTATGGCTTCGGCTAAAATAATAATATATCGTAATAATACATAAGTCTCGGATTCAATCCCGCATCCTCCTAAAATTACTTGATTACGGGTCATCCAAGAGACTCTGTAAAATAATTAATAAATAAATACCTAGCTATTAAACAATATCTTGATCTAACCATTTTGCAGTGTCCATTATCATTTCATTCTCTTGTGTTTGACAGGTTACGGCCAATTGTGCAAAGGCTTTGGTGGACACCATACCCAGAGGCATGGTACTGCTTGCCGAGGCAACGGCAATTTATGATTTGCCTGGATCGGTTGACGATTGGTTGCCACGTCGCAGACGCAAGCCCAAGCCCCCACCTCCGCCACCACCACCACCCCCACCACCACCACCACCTGCACCAACTCCAGCATCAGTTGTGCCAGCTCCAGTTGCTGTTGTACCAGCTCCAGCACCCTTACTCTTTTCACAGCAACCGGTGATTGTTCCTTTAAGTCCTGCCGATCCCGTACAGTCTTTTTACTTTGATTATCCGCACGTAGCACCGGTTCTGGGCCGCCGCAAGTCCTATGTGAAGCAGGTACACAGCGGCTGTCCGGCATCCAAGCTAGTAAGAGATGCGTACGGCAACTATTATTGCCGGCCCACAGCAGTTTCACGCCGACTGCGGCGTGAGCTTCAAAGAAATGGTGCCAATCTCCTGAATGACGGGCAGAGTCCACATGGAATGCTGTTCGATTTGCTAGGAATGCTGTCTGCGATGTAAGTACACTAAATATCAAAAACTCGTGCACTTATCAATTCATCTTCTCTCTTGCTCTCTCTGTCTCTATATCTCTTTTTCTTTCTGTCCCTTACTGAAGACATCAGTATGAACCGCGTTACTGCATCATGCGGACTCTTTGCGAGTCCCGCCATCTGCTGGCACCACCCGGCCAATCGCTGTTTCACGATATCTTTCGCATTCTGCTGCGCTACGTGCATCCGGAGATTGCCCATAAGCCCATATATCGCAAGGCCTTTACCAGTGGACATTCGCTGCATGAGTGCGCACAGTGGTATGGCGCGCACTGTCCCCAGAGTTTTTTGCTACACTTCAGCACACAGTTTAAGCGTCAATTTGCAAATGCATTTAATAAAGCGACCTAAAAGACACAATTAAAAACGTTATTCACGCATGGGGAAAGCGTACTGAACTTTTGTTGACCTGCTATGAAATAATGTGTTATAATACTCCTGTACAATTGTTTCTATTTCCCACACATTTAGGTGTTTACTGAAATAGGGACTGAAAGATGTTACTATATGTGTGCATATACAAAATTAGAAGATAGCCCGTGCTGAAGTCTGAATCAATTTAACCTATATTTTTATTTATAAGTATATAAATATATTCATAATAATGTGCTCACCCGAAATTGAAAATTATTTTATTGTAGGAGGGTGACAAACATTTATAAACACATTATTAAAAGAATGAAATAAGTAAAAAGCGGATTATAGAAGCTAAGGAAAGAGCGAGAGGAGTAAAGTGAGAAAGGGACCAAGAGTGTAAGAGTTTAAGAGTGCATGTTTAGCTTGAGCTTATGAGAATCGCATAGTAAAGCACTCTTAAACAATTTTTGCAAAACTGCGTGGTAGTTATCAAAAAAGTTATAGAATCTTGGCTTGCGTTTCGTATGAGCTGTTCTTGTCCGCCAAAGTTTTTATATTTTCATAATAATTGAACCAGTCAACAAAATGTATAATATATATTTTTTCGGCGCTTTTGATGTGTTCTCGATTGCAAAAAAACTCTTACTCTTCGATTTTATGTAGAGCACTCGGCAAACACAAATTTTTTAAAGGTTGCCAAAAAAAATGCCTGTCTATAAATTGGCAACAAAAAAAATTTTTTTTATTATGTGTAAGGCCAAAAAGTGCAATTGAATTTCAGTAAATATCCCAAAACTGACATTTTTATTGGCATACAGTCATGTAAACACGAAGAAAAAATAAACATAGTGCGTATACATGAATAAATATGTCAGTTATACATATATATATACATATATATCTCTATGTATATTTCATTTATTAAATGTTTCAACTATAATTTCTGTTTGTTTTTGGCTTTCATTGATGGTAAAAGGCCGAAGTTTGAATGTAGATACAAATTTGCGTGTAGCAAATGCCGATGGTGTGGACATTTGGGCCATGTCGGAGGCATAACAGTAACCAAATAATTGTTAGCCGTTGTGTCACATTTTGCACCATGTCGCTAATGAGCGCACTCAACAACGGTTGAGCTAATAGGCTACTAAAGAGGTAAATACAGGGCCAGCTAAGTGCGGATCAGGTAAGCAGCACTGAAATAGCCAGGAATCTGGCCAGTCTCGGTCCGAATGCGATGCTGTTAAAATGATGCGCTTAATCCATATTGTAATAATTGCAATACTTTTGCTCTCAATGACGCACGCCTCTCTGCTGGAGTTGGGGCATGGAACAGGGGCAGATGCCAATGCCACAAGGGCTGTGCCGAAGCTACTTAGTCGTCAAAAGCGTTATTTGGCATTTCCGGAGGGATCGTCGGTTTCGGTGTGAGTGCTGCCAGTTAATGTGGCTAAAATGGCAACTAACTAATATCGCTTGGCTAGGCGGCAATTTGCATGACCATCGGTATGATTGGTAATCCCGATGTGGACTATCTTAGTTGGGCCGTCAACTGGGGCGTGGCCTATAATCTGCCCAATCATAATTGGGTTAAACAGCATGCACATGGCTTTGCGAATCTCACCAAGCCAATGATGCAGCGCCGGTCGCGACGCAGCTTTTACGATGAGATACAATCCTCCTTTGATCAGTAAGTATGTCCGTTTATAATTCCAACCCAAACTCACCCAATTCCATGGAACCCTTTTGACTAGCATGGGCTTCAATGGACGTGCCTGCTTGGCTCGTGCGCTCTGCGAGAGTGCCAAGTTTATGCATGCTCCCGGCCAGCGAGGCAACATGTTGGAGGAGTTGGTGCGCACCGTGCTTAGCATGCCCTCATCGCCAGTGACGGAGCATGAGCCGCCGGCTCATCATCACTATGACCTCATTTATCGGCGCTCCAAGCGGCAGTCGCGCGACTGCCACGAGCTTTATCCGGGCTGTCAGTTTTCTCTGTTGGCGCTGGCTCTTGGCAAATATGTGGCAGCCCCTGCGCAGTTTACCAAATATAATTTTATGTGAATAAAACTAATTCCATAATAACTAATTTCCATAATTTTTCTAATTGCGCACAATATGCAATCCATTTCCAAAAACAGAAGACATTGCATTTTTTTTTAAAACAAATTATTTTCATTCTTCTTTATTTAATAACGCGTAACATTTATTTATATAGTAATTGTTTTTCTTGTTTTTATGCATTTATTTATTTTAGTTTTTAATTTTTGTTTACCTTTTATTTGCAATTGTTGCTCTTTATATTTTCTTCAATTTTATGCTTGCCATTTTCTGAGAATCTTAGATCTTAGCTTCACTGCAATTTTCGTTTTTAATTTTGTTTGCAAATGCAAATTTTACGTTATTCATTTTGTTTGCTAGCATTTAGTTATTATTTTTTGTTATTTTATATAGTTTGTTGTGGTTGTTGTTAAGTTACTTTGTTGCTCAAGTTACATTTTGTGTGCTTGAGACTCTGCGCGTGTCAATTTTATTTTTCTCAGTGTGGTGTGATTTGTATTTGTTAGCATAATTTTTGTTCTTGTTGCTGTTTGTTGTTGTTATTCAAAGGAGCTTGTATGTATTTTGTATATATATATGTATATACATATATATTTATGTACGTTTTGTATGTGAAATGTAAATGCAAGTTTTAAAATTTAATTTTTGTTTGGCATTTACCTTGAATATTAATGCGCAAACACATTTGTTTATTTTGGGCTTCTTTGTTGTTCTTCTTCATTTGCTATGTAATTTTATTTGTTTAGCCTACGATTAAGCCAAACATTACTTGTTTGTCTCTTTGTTTATTAATTGCAAATATTTTACATACTTTTTCTTATACTCATAGCTTAATAAACTTACATTTTGTATTTGATTTAACTAAATACTCAATTTAGTTAAAATTGATTCGTGTATAATTTTTGCAAAACTTTTTTTAGTCAGCGCTGAAAACGCCTAACCTAAAATTGGTTTTGTTTTGACATTTCGTTTTGGTGTCAGTTACGGCTATTTTTATTAATATTTGTGTTCTTTTTTCTTCTCGTACTTTTTATATTTATTGATCAAATATTTTTATTTAGTGTAGCATGCGCAATGGCATTTAATATTTAACTTTAATTTGTGGTGTTGTTTTCCCCAGTGAGTAGCAAGATTTTATTTCTTGTAGTTTGCGTTTTCTTTTTTGTAATTTTGTTGGGCTTTTAAGTTAAAAATCTTGTTGCTAAAATTTATAATAATATTATTTTTTGTTGAATTAAGATAGAAATTGAAAAACTGTTTGTATTGTACACAAGAATGCAACATAAGCGCTTAAAACTAACGGCATCTAGCAGTTAATACACAAAATATACACACATATGCATACACATATACCATAATTCATATATATACGTATATAAATATGCATCATGCAAGTACTTATGTACGGCTGATTTAAAAATTACAACTATGTTCATTAACTAAGTAGCTTACAAATTTGATTACTGTTGCCTCATTCACATACATACATACACCTATACGCACACATACAAATTATTATGCTATTTTAAAAATGATGTGATCAAAACGTTCTCGTATGCACTTAATACAATTTAAGTAATTAATTTGTGTGGATTCTAGCGGTTGTGTCTGTGTGTGTGGGTGTAGATGTGTGTGTAGATGTGCACTTGCATTTGAATACTTTAACTGTTTTTTAAACAATTATAAGCTACAAATTTGATCAAAGTTATACTGAAATTATATTTTGAAGCTTTTTTGGAATATGGGCTTTCTAAATTTGCAAGAGGCGAATGAATTATCACTTAATTTTACCTACATAACTACTTTCTCTCTCTGTCTCTTTCTCTATAATATTTTTTGAAATATTATACAATAGTTGGTGGAAATTGTCAACAAAATGAAATCGTTAAAATTTGTTAACTGCGCTTTGTGGCTTCCGATAGGTCTGACAATGGGTTTAACTGGAATGCGTTGAAACGTTGCTGATTTTTCATGTGCTTAGATGTGTGCTGAAAATTTGTTTTTTTTTTTCTGTGATTGAAACCTTTTATTCATTGCACTTTTAAAAGTTTTATTTTTTTTTTTTTTGATATATTTGATGTGTGTTTGGCAACTCAACGCAAAGTTATCTGTGTGATAATAGCATTAATTGTATGTACATGACGTTAGTAAGAAGGAGGGGGTAGAAAGCAAAAAAGTCTGGAAACATGTGATTTCTATTGTCAGGTACTTAATAAGTTTTGAAGATAGTGGGGATTGTATGGATAGAGAGCGATTGGAGGAGATCTCGGCCCTAAAAGTATGCAATAAAGACTTGGCGAGATGAGTTGCTGTGCAGTGCTTTTGTGTGTATGTGTGTGTGTGTGTGTTTCTATGTGTTTGTGTGCTTGCTGTGGCATAAGTTGAATAAATATTTGGTTTTACATTCATCAGCTCCACTGGCCAGTGCGCTTCCAATAATTTGGTTGAGCAATACGCAGACTTTGATTCTTGTTGTGTTTGCTACAAAAGACGACCTTTGATTGGAAGACATCCGATTTTATGTTTTTGAATCTCAGGGTCAAGCCGCATATATATATCAAATACTTATTTTTGGTTTGATAATTTACTTGTTTAATATATTTTGTTAATAACTATTTCACATTTAACTAATTATGAATATTGTAAGTGCTAAGTGTGGCTCCAAAATTTTTGCATAAAATGAAACACTTTGTGGTTGTGAGCGCCCTTTCCGAATGATATTTAACAACCAAGCAGCTTTATTGATGATGGGATAGCTCAGCTCAGTTATACTTTGCAAACAGTCTACCAATACAATTTATATGCTAGGTGTCAGCTCCTTAAGTCCGGCAATGTTTCAGTGTTGGAAAGGGCACTTCAGCTGCTTCATCTAAATGGTAGGTGTGTTGTCTAGCACTTGTGTACATGATTTCGTTGTCTGCTGTGATAACTTTACTCAAAATAAGTTTACCTGAAATAAATTCTAGTTGCTCTTTTATCTGCTTTAATTAATGCTTTCAATGTGTTTCGTGCTATTTTGGTCTGACTGTTAATGTTATCATACGGGGTTTGGATCTAATTTTGTGTCAGAGCCTATTTTTTTTCTCTCATTTGCTTAACTTTTTTGTTGTTTCTGTGTATGTATGCGGGTTTGTGTGTATTGGTGTTGGTGTAAGTATTGACTATCTTTGATATATACACTTTATGAGTATGTTACTAAGTATATAGTATTATTATATTATAGCTACTGGTTGCCTTAAGTATGACGACTTAAACCACAATGTTAACTTCGAGCCCCGTTTTGCAATGTCTGAATTATCGTACGAGTACCTTACTTATCTAGTCGTTTTCTTTTGAGTGTGAATCTGAGATACACACATTCTGAATCTACATATACATATCAATATATATTTAATGTATATGTGTGTATGCAGATATACGAGTATTTGTTAATGTATTTTTTATATTTTATTTTGTCTTATTTGTGGCAGTTTTTTAATTACATGTTTTTTTGTTACCAATTTCGGTTTTTTTCCTCTTTACTTGCAGTGCTCAAAACTATGCAGCATTATTATTATAATTTTAATTTGCCTTAAAGTGTATTCTTGCATTTTTTTTATTTTGTTGTTTTTCACATGAAGCACACTAAACATTTACCTATAACCTGGAACATTCAACTAAACGCGTTTTAGAAAGGCAAATTCAAAATGTTTGACATTACTAGCATAATTTGCAGTTAAACACGTTGGGTTTACTTTAAATATTATTAACATTAATTATTATTAATTTATTACATACATAAATGTTATTTAATGTGCAAATGAACTGTACAATTATGAATTTGAATTGTACTAACAGACTAACTGACTGACTGACTGTGGAATGACCGATTGTTTGCTTGTGTGTGTTGAATGTGCACGCGCACACGCACATACACACACGCACACGCACAAGCCTCTTTGATTATAACCTAAAAACACAACCAATGAGAGCATTTACACGTCCATGTATTTGACTTTTCGAATTGCCTTCGAACTTGCATAGTTGGTACCATTTTGTTAGAGTTGTATTATTATTTATTTTATTTTAATATTTATTTATTTTAAAATTTCTCTATTAATTTTTTGTTTTGCAATAGCGTGTCGATTTTCCCAAGTGAAACAATTTACAAAAATGGTAATTGAAATTTAAATTTCTATTTTGCTTGACTTTTAATCGTTCTTTATTTTAACAACTGTTTGAAGCCCAATAATAGTTTTTGAGATACACAATTCATATGCGATATTATTTTGTCCAAATTCGCATTTACGTTATATAGTTTGATTTATTCACAGAAATGTTACGCCATTTACTTGTCATTAGTTTGTTTTTCTGTTGCTTCTATTCATAATTAATATTTTTTAGTTGATTGTCTAAAACTATAACAAAAATTTGTTAAGCTTACATGTTTTTTTTGCTTTGCGCTATTTAAAATTGTAAATTCTTCGAAATTAAGTGAAGCTGAATGTGTGCTGGATTTAAGTACAGAAACTGCACTATTCACTAGAATATAAAGCATAGTTCAACACTTCATACGTTCGTCATGGAATGATTTTAATTTGAACCAGAAATTTCAACCTTATTTCGGAATGCACACAGGGAACAAAACAAGTAGGTCTGCACATACAGGTAGACGTAAGAAGGTTTATGTTTTTGAAACTTTGGTACGCATTAACTTTATACAATTAATTTTCAATGTGATACTTAAAATTACAAAATATAATTGCATTTTATTTACATAAGAACGTGTTTCTGAGAACTTTTATCAAATATTTTTAGAAACTTTTGGTAAAATTAATTTTGCTACAAATGGCTTTGTGGTAATTTAAGGAATAAATTATATTTGGAATTTTTCACTGGAGTGATTATTGCTATTATTATTTTTTTTATGTAAGCCAATAGATATTCACAGTGAGTAAGTAGAAAGCATTTTGATAGATCATCTTTATTTTGTTCAAAGTTTTCTGATTTATCTGATTATTTATTAAGTCCTGCTTTAAGGTTAATACATCCACCGTGTGCAGGTTTTTGCATATATAATTATGTATTTTAAATGTGTATGCATATATATATATATATATATATATATATATATATATATATATATATATATATAGATAGATATATATACTATATATTTGTAATGCGGGTGTATAAATATTTTTTTTCAGACTTTTTAATTATATGCTTTTCAAAACGGAAGTCGAGACAGTTGTCAAATAGTTTTTTGCTCATTTTGCTGGCATTTTTAATTAATTAATTTATTTATTTATTTATATTTCTGTGTGTGTGTATGCTTTTTGTTTTTAATTTTATAAGCTCAGTTGAATACGTTTAATAGTTGATGTAATTATTCAATGTACAACTATCATATTTTATTATGGGTTTGCTGTGGTTGAATGTGTATGTGTTTCGTTTAAATGCTTATGCAATTTATTTGTTTTTATTAGTAAATTGATTTATGATATTTTTTATATAACATTTATTTACGTTTAGTTAATAGCTAAATATTTAAAAAATGTTAACTGTTGATTTTTATGCACTTTACATTTTAATACACCAAAATGGTGCTGCTATTTAAATTTTAAATTACGTGTTCGTGTCTCAGCTGTGCTTGCTGCTCTTACTTAAGGGTTTTACTTCTGTTTAGTGTTTTTTTTTTTAATTGTTTCTTTTTTGTGTTTGCAGTGTGTGTTACGCTATTCGTTTTTGCATTTTCCTTTTAGCTAAATGATTTGAAAACGGCTGGGCTTCGCCAGGTGCATACAGCGCGATTTCGCATCCACATCAACAAACGTTTGTACAAACAATGGCAGACAAATAAGTAAAATTATTCAACTTCTAGTTAACGATTAACTGCATTAATGGATGAGAATTGGAAATATATAAGCCTGCATACCTATAATCTTACGCCCAAGAATCGAAACTACAGTAAATTCAAGATGAAGTTCTTAATGTATAACTAAGAGATCGGTTGGTAATAGTATATCTGATTTCTTGTTATGTGTGGAAAATTGCAGCAATTCTATAAATGTCTCCTGACACATAAATATCTCATGCAAACAGCCTCTTATTGGGCTTTCTAACAAATTGCCAATTACAGTTGCAATGACGCATAGTTGTGCAGAATTTCGAACAGTATTCATGCAGGTTCACACATTCACGAATATATACATAAATATTTAAATGTATATGTATACTCTCTGTCTATGCCATTGCGACACTATTTGTTGGGTTGGAAAACTATTTTAATTAATACACATTTACAAGTGTGGAATATTTTCGATTAGGAATTTTAATTAAACTTTTTGGCCAACACACGCAGGCAAAACGCCGAACCAATGTCAAGTCATGCCAGTATTGCTGCCGAAAACAAAAACAACAACAACAACAACAACAAGCTTAACATTTATATGCAGTAAAACAGCTTGACAACCCTGAGTAGAGTTGTCGCGGCATTCCTTGCTAATAGTTTTAGCAGTTTTCATTTATGGTTTTTGCCTCACCCATTTGCATCCAAGCTGTGCAAATTTTGTATACTTTTCGCTGTTTTTTTATTAACTTAACACAAGCAGTCATGCACACATACACACGTGCACACACTCATGAAAATTGCATTCCTCACTTAATTTGTTGCATACCCTGCGGCGCGTGCCAGCGCCCTGTGGCATTCGCGTTGTTAATATTTGTTGCTGTTGTTGTAGTTGTAGTTGTTGTTTGTGTAGTGGGAAAACTTTTCCGAAATCAATTAAAAATGCAAATAAAAAACCTTGTGGCAAGGTTCGTTTGCTCTGGCATTTAAATTGAAGGTGTTTCTGTGTGTTGCACTTAGCCAAGGCTATAGCAATGCCCAGCTCTGGACCTCTGCCTCCTGCTGCAGGCAATTAAAAAGTTTTTTAATTGATTCTGATTGTATTCAAAAGGCAAAGAATCTGAGAAACGCATAAGGCACACACAGCCTGTAAGAAGTTGCAACAGACCTGCGATCTAAGAATTCCCGTCTGCTTAAAATTTGAATATTTGAAGCAGCGAAATTGCTACAATTCATAGCCTTTGATTTTCAAAGCTTTAGCTGATGTTAAGTAATATTATATTTATTTTTATTTGATTAAAATAAATCATATCAAATATTAATCAAGGAGTAAATCTTTTTGGCAATTTGGCTATCTGTATTTTGAAAGTAAAACGTTTGTCTCGAAATTTATGAAATTGCACTTTAATTATTTTTTCAAATTTTCGTCACTCAGTGCAATTTAAATGTTAAAAAGTAACGTAAACGAATAGCACAAAATAGTCTAACAGAGTGTCGTATATTTTGTTTAATGTGTTTTCTTCTTTCTTGATTTGATTGCTTTTTTTTTTGATTTGTATTTTTCTTATTTTCCATTTTTTGCAGATTATGTTTTAGTTATTGAATTTGAGTTGTCTTAAATTTTGTGTAATTTTAAACTATGTATTAGTATATATATGTTCCATACATATGCTTGTTAGACACACTTACATTTATCATACATATGGTTATATGAGTGTGTATTTCTTGTAGTAAAAATGTGTGAGTTTAAAATTTGATGTTTGTGTTTGTCAACATTAAACTAAATTTATTTCAGAATTTCGCGCTTCATTTGACCAAGTCGCCTGTCGTGGCTGACATTTAGGCTTGTTTTGTAACATTAATTTTAAGTTGGCTTAAAACGTATGTGGCTTACCTAAGACTAATTAAGACTTAATTGTTAATCATGCTTAGATCAATATATATAATTTAGTTACTTATGTGTTAGGCATTACCTACTCTAAAACCAGTTTCAAACTTGACGCATTTTGCATAATTTGCATGAGCAAAGTTTTTGTATTCTTTGTGTTGCTTAAAATAATGCGAAAAATATGCAGAAATAGATAAATAATTAAAATTGATTACGATAACTGTTTCAAACGCACGCACACAAACACACTGAACACATGCAGTCAATTTTTTTTTGTTTGTTTTTTATTTGGATTTTCGTTTTAAATTTAAAATGCCATTTTAAAACATTTTGTTATGTGTTTTTGTTGTTGTTCTATTTTTTGAAACTTCTTTAGAACTAAAAATCAACAAGGAACTTTTGGCGCTCAAAAATACAATACAAATTACAAAAAGTTTATTTTTTTTACAACACTGGCTGCTGACATCATACATGACTGCACAACCGTCCAAGACTCACATACTTTAATATATACGAACGTTCTTTCACACAATCATCAGGCATCCATCAAAAACTTACTAACTAGATTCTATTCCGTTGGCGGAGTTGCATTGTCAGCCACTGGTCGTGTCAGTGTCATATATATATGTTATAGTTGATGTTCCAACCCAGTTATTTACGTCGTAACGTTATCCAACCCTACAGTACTTTTGTTGCATTACTTTACATACATATTTTGATCAACTGCTCCAAAACTCGCAACCGTTGTTTATTTCTTTCTTCTTTCACAATTTCCAATGTTCGCTTCGCTCCGCTGCTTACAATGGGCTCCATGAGTTGGTCATCGTTTCGCTATTTTTATCTCTATCGATAACGGGATTAACACTGTCAACGCTGATATTGATACTGCTGCTGATACTCTTAGTGTTGTATAACGCCGATGAGACGCTCATGGTTTGGCTCGTTGTATATTATCCACGATCATCGTCGCGTGCGGCGAACAGGGTTCGCAACGAGCTGATGATTAAGTTCCACCAGCCTGCTGCGAACCCAAGTGGACGTTATAAGGAGTTTTCACTACCCATTTTTAGCAGCTCGAATTTCTTTTTAGCAATTTTCGAATATAATATATCAATCGGCTGCGATTGATCGTACAAACTAGGCGCTTGCAATATAATAAGCGCTGTGCCGACCACGCAAGCGATTGCGAAAATCCAAAGAAACATACGATCCAATACCATAGCTACGTATTTCCAATCCTCCTCAACCTGTCAAAGATAATGCAAGTTCAGATGTTGTAGTAGTAAGAAAAATTATAGTAAGGATAATGTAAATACTTATAAATATGTCGATTTCTATAGAAGTAAAATATTTTAATTTCCTTTTTATTATGAACCGATACCTAAAGAAAACTTCTCCACGGTGCCCAGAATTACGGTACCAGACATCGTTAGCTTCCTAAGCACGGACACCTACACCGAGAGAGCGCTCAACTCCGTGGATTGCTTAGTACAGTGCCGAAAGTCGAACGACTACCGAGCGTTGGCAAGGCACCTTCGAGAGAAAGGCTGCATGTTCCACCACTACCAACTGACAGAGGACCGGCCATACCACATACCATGGGGACAACCATCCCACAAGCGAGTGCGCACTTGGCAAGGATTAGGATCGGTGTTGCGACCATTGTGGCGAATCACACGCAGCCAACTTCAAGGGCTGCGTACCTGCAGTACGCATTCCATAAAAAAAAAACAGCACAAGGTAAATGGCAGATCCGCAAGCTGCTCCAGGGATTGTCTCCCCCAAACAGCCCCTCCAGCCCGCAGCTTCGCTTCCGGTCAATAATCGTCCTATGCGGTAGCCAGCCCGCTGAGCGCATAGCTCGCTCACCGTCGCGCTGAAGGAACACAGGCAGCATTCCCAGTCGATCTCATCCAGCGTCGACCACCTCCCGTAAACTCCATCTCGCCCTGTCACGCTAGCTCCCTGCTAAGCCCAGAAGCCAGGAGTCTCTTCGCCAGCAAAAGGCGTCTGAGAGGGCTGTATATTCGGAACGGTGATCCCTCTGACAAGGCGGAAATGCTGGCTAGGACCCGAAGGGAAAACCTTGATAGCGTTCTTGTCCGAATATTATTATGATCGCCAAACCCGGTAACCCGCTAACTCAGCTGTAATCTTACCGCCCTATAAGCTTGCTGCCGACGCTTTCCAAAGTCTTTGAGCGACTCCTACTAAGTCGACTTATGGAGCTCGACGAGGCCACTCCCCTGGATCCCGGGCCATCAGTGTGGGTTAAGGAAGTCTCATGGCTGCCCTAAGCAGGTCCACCGAGTAGTCAACCATGTACTGGAGGCATTCGAAAAGAAGGAATATTGCGTTGGAGTCTTCCTTGACGTCTAAAAAGCGTTTGATAAGGTCTGGCACAAAACTTTGCTCCCTGCGCCATATTTCCGCATCTTGAGCTCATTCCTGGCAGGACGCAACTTCAACGTGACCATCAAAAACCGAAGCTCGGGTGTCAAAGGCATCAAAGCAGGTTTCCCACATGGCAGCTTCGCACGACCACCTGCAAGCTGGAACAAACGCAGTGCAACACTAGCTGCTGCAAGTCGACACTTGGACAGCTTATTGGAACATCGCCATAAACTGTGCCAAGTCCCCTTGCGTCACACTCACGCTAGCCAAGACAGTTTCCAGGGGCTTCGGTTAGATGGAGTTACCATTGAGCACACCAGCTCATTTTGCTACTTGGGCGTCCACTTGGACTGAAGGTTCATATGGGGATCCCACATCACAGCCCGACTGGCTCTTAAAACCGCAAAGCAATCTTCACACTTCCACAAAGACGCTGCATAAGAGTGGTCGAGGCCAAGGCAGCACGCAACGTCGCCGGTCTGCCATGGTATGTGACAACCGACGCCATTGAAAGCGATCTCCGCCTAACAAAGGTCGAAGATCAGTTAAACTTCTTCTGCAGCCGATACGTTGACAAGCTGGTGCAGCACACGAACGCGGCCGCCAGGGTCCTGGCTGACCCCATCTATACATAATCCCCTTAGTCATTCGCTTGGTAGAGATCAGAAGGCACTGATCGACTCCAGCGCAAAAAAATAAAACTTAAAAAAAAAAAACAATTAAATAAAGTAAACTAGTTGCTCAAAAATACATCCAAACCCAAATAAACCAACCCTTGTGACAGGGTTTGAACCGTAAACCGAACGACCGTTTATGTTGTCTGATTTTGCAGCCATGATAAAAATAGACTATTGCATGGAACATGTGTGTTATTTAATGGCCACCATAATAAGATATTCTTTTTTGTTTTATTTTTTTAATGCTCCTTTTGAAAAGCCGAAATTCGCAATGTTGTTGCAATGCTCGCAATTTTTTTTGTTTGTTTATGAAGCCCTGAAAAAATTGTATTTTGCAGTCATCATACGGGACTGCATTTATATTTAATTAAAATTATGTGATGTTTTAAAGCCTATACTTCCATCTGTTTTTAAAAGCTCTTCACAAATGCATTACCCAATCTAATTCAATTTCGTTATTGGTTCGAATTTTGCTGCAAAAGTTGAAACCAAACAAGAGCTGATTCGGGGCATTGCCTGGCTGTGGCCACAATGATTGGCAAATTTGCACTCTGAATCCCGAATTGCGCTTTCCGATTGCACAAACAACTCAATCACTCAGCTCGAATTCAGCTTAACGCGACGACACGACGCCTCTCCAGCTCGACTTTTCTCCCCCTTCACAGTTTTTGATTAGAGAAATGCAAGCAACGTGATTCGAACGGTTGCATGGCTCGCTGACTAATGCGGGTTATCAGGAGCGGGCGTAAACATGTCGCGACCCTGGTCGGGCATGGGCACGAGGATTGGGGTGGCTTGTGGCCTGATACTGGTCTGTCCAACTGGCGGGCATAATAATGTTTGCCATTGGTGTGTGGCTAAAATTGAATAATTTTGCATGGCAACATTTTCCCGTGTGACGTAATGACGTTTTCCGTGTTTATTTAACGTTTCGAGTGAAAACTTTTTAACGAATAACCATCTATTCGCTTTATTGATTTGAAAATAAATATTGACTTAAACTGTAATTCGGTGTTCGACTGTAATATACTCTGCAAATGTTGTCGCTGAATATATTTGTTCACCCACTTTTAATGAATGCAGGGTATAAAGTAAATCATATTTAATCAGTTTTACTTACGCTCTCAAACTTGTCTTTGTTTTTCACATGCTGCGCTATAAAGCGCGAACCTTCGATGGTCTTTTCCATCTCTCGTGCATAGGGCCTTTCAAACGTGGGACTGAGATCGGCCGCAGCAGCTGCGGCTGCCGCTGCTGCTGGACAACAGTCCGGACTGATGTCTCCATTGAGACCCGATGGACTGAACAGATCGTCGTCAGCGCCTGGCAATGGCAGTGAGGAGGGCAGCGGCGGGTCACCAAAGCAATGGGCAGCAATCCCGCCTGCGGCCGCCAAATCAAACCGATGCGATGCGGGAAGCACTGAAAAAATATGGCAGAATTTGAGATACGTTGAATGAAAGCGAAGGATGAGAAAGCGCTATAGATTTGATTCAAAGCGGCTGTTGCTTAAGCCCTAATTACTTGCTCTCTATTCATCTGTTTAAAAATAAATAAATGAAACAATTAAGTTTGTATGTCTTATTCGCTCTATTTGGCCAAGTTGGTGCTGTTGATAAGCCCCTCTTCTACTCTTTGTTACTCTGTGTTTTTGCTTATCTGTTTGGCTGCTCTCGTGTACATTTGTAATCTGTTGTCTTTCACTCTGCCACCTTTTTTTAAATCTCTGCTTTTATCTGCTTTAAGCGCTCAGCGCTCAGGTACTATTGTTGTTATTCACGCTCTTAAGCATATCTAAGTGTAACTCTCTTGTTGCACGCTGCAGTTGTTTAGCCGGAAATGGTTGCTCGCCCTCGAATCGATGGCTATTAATTTTCAATGTGAAAAGTAGCCACAATATAAAAAGTTGTAATTTATGTAAAATTGTCAAGTATTATATTAAATAGAATAAATAAAATATTAAGAAAGGTATACATTTGCTAAGAAGGAACAATCCAAGTGCACAAAAAATAGGAACAACCAACCATCTAGGGTTAACATGGACAGAAAGCAGTAACGACATTAGGTAAATCAGATTTGATGCTATTTCGCAATTCTTTCATTTTTATATTTCTCATTTTATTTTTCTTCTTTTTTTTATGCGCAAATGCAATTTACAACTTTTCTGTGCTCTGCTTTGTATGGGTGCAATTTTATTTTCACAATGTCCCTGAGCACAGTACAGGACAAAGGCTGCAGAGTAGCAGCAGCAGCAGCTACAGAAACGATAAAGAAACTCAGTAAATAGTTGGCTGCATTCTACTTATTTTGCACTTATTTGAGATCCCGTTTTTAAAGTTTCAATATCTCTGTTTCGCACCCATAAAAAAGGAAAAATGTAAAAGAAAAGAGCCAAAAGAAGTAAAGGAAACCGTTAATTGAAAGCCGGCTGGACTTTCGGATAGTAAAAAGTAGTCACCAAATGGCGAAGCCCAAGCCATCTTTGTGGGTTTTCGCGTTTCGTGGGTGACTGCACTTCCATGTCGTCTGCCTTTTGAGTGGTTTTATGTGTTGAATGCTTAATATTAAGTGGAAACTGCTAATGAAGTGGTGCAAAAAAATAGCTAATTGATAGGGCTTACAGATAAACGACAACAAAAAATGCTCACTTTTACTGGCTCCGCAAGATTAACTGATACACTTTAATGACTTTAAGTATATCTTTCTTCCATTTTGTTTGGATAATTATACGTACTTATTAGTATGTAAAGTTTTTAGTGAACATTTTTTAAAAGACTTACAATATATGAATGTAAGAAATAATTATATAGAAAAGGGAAACTTTTGCTAAATTGCTCTACTCTTAGACACAGATAATTTTAATTGATAGTTACTGTTATATAGCTTTCATATTTGTATAATATTATTTGAAAAATCGATAAACACAATCCATTCATTATGCTAAAATCTTGGGAATTTTTAGGTTTTAAATTTATTTATATTATATTACTATTTTATTTTAATATTTTAATGTTATATTTTTTTATTTTTATAATCGGTCGATCTGAGTTGAAATGTTAATTTTTTTCTTAAATAAATAAAGCATCTTTAATACCTATCTAGATTTCATCAAAAGTATATAAATTTCTTGGTTCTATTCGAAGCTGTTGAAGTGCTTCTGAGCTTCGCGAAATAAAAGTAGTTTCCTTTGTGACGATTCGTTTTTTTTCTCACTTACTTTCTTGCCACAATTTTTTAATGAGTATGGCAAATGGCGTCACGACACTGACAAAACGATACAAAACTAATTTAGAAAGCGAATAATTCTTGCCGAGTTGCAGCAACTTTTCACTTGCAACTTATGCAACTTGTCTACTTGTCTGCCAGTTAGTTTGTCTCGTTTTACTGTTAGTGTTTGTTTCTGTTGTCTGTATATGTATGTATGTGGCTGCTGCATGCCCCTTGCCAGTGCAGTTGCCCGTTAATTGCCATAAATTATTTGCGCTCAGTGCCTCTGGCAACAGCGGGGGACTTTCGAAATGCATATAATTTCAATGTACTTGCGCATATTTAAACGAAATATAAACTTGCCTGGTTGGAGGTATGGCTGGCTGGCAGTTTAGTTCGAGTATATGAACGCTCTGTTACCAGCTTAAGGCGCCTGCTAAAGCCAGTTGGAAACACGCATAAATTGCCAGGCGGTAACAAAAGCAGCACCTAGAATCTAGAAGCTAGCTGGCTGTAACTACAACTGCAACAATGCCAAAGTTTTGAACAACAAAAAGTTTGGCTAAGGCTGAGGTAAATATAGAAACTTGGCTGGTTTTCTGCAGCCTTCTGTTGACTCTGACAAAGAAGCTTACTATTGTCCTGCCTGGACCGAAATAAAACTATTGGAATACTTTTTTAAAATCAGTACTGGGATTTACCTGGTATGCCATAGTCACCGCTGAAACGCTTTGTGTCATAGTTAACAAACTTGTCCACGTCCGGCGGCAAATGATAGACATCTGTGAGCACCTCGGGCGGCTGATCATCTTCGGGGTCCTCCTTTTTGGGCCGCTCAATGCAGAGTAGTTTCGGCAGGATTCGTATGAAGACGCGCTGCACCCAAGGTGCCATGCGATGCGTCACTGGCGATCTATAATGTCAATCAATTATACACATGCCTCTTTAACTATAATTTTGTTTAAGTACGCACCTAAAGTTTACGTTTAGCACCGCAATTGTTACCACGACAGAGAGCGTGACCAGCATCATGGTGAAGAGCAGATATTTGCCCAGCAGCGGCACCGTCAGAGATGTCGGCGGTATAATCTCTGCCAGCAGCAGAAAAAACACAGTCAACGAGAGCAGAATGCTGATACAAAGTGAGATCTTCTCGCCCGAATCGCTGGGCAAATAGAACACCAGCACGGACAGAAACGATATGCCCACACAGGGTATGATCAGATTGACTGTATAGAAGAGCGTCTTCCGCCTCAGTGTCAGGTTGAATACAATGTCCAGATAGGGCTCCTCGCAGCAGCTGTAGAACTTTTCGTTACGCACCGCCGGCACACGCATGATATCCCATTCCACAGAGATATAGTAATCCTGCAGATCGATGCCCACCTCAATGTTGTCCGAGTCGGCCGTTTGCTTTAAATGTCGCAGGTCAACCTAAAGATAAAGAAAAAATTTAATTTGAATACTTGGTGTGTGTAGCGGCGCTTGCCACTTGTCACTTCCGCTATGCCTAATATAAGGTCAGGACTTTCGTCAACCCTTCGTTTTAGTTTTAGTAGTAGATCGACCCTTTAAGTAGTACCACTCACACCATCGAATCAATAAGCGTATGATTATGTACTATTTTATTTTATTTTTTTTTTAAATAAAACACCGATAAAGCGAATATAAAAGGTTATGTTTGTATTAACTTCAGTCTTACATGGTTGTATTTACTCTAGCAGTAGCTCTCTAGCGTTCAAGAAGATATAAAATGCATCAGTGGCCTAAAATATTCGATCCAATAAGAAATGCAAGCAAATGCAAACTTCCACGCACCTCCGGGTTAATAGCTGCATTAGCTAACCACGTTCTAGTGCGTGCTAAAAATTATTTTTTTTCAAAAACTAATAAAGATCCACATGGTTGAGCCAAATATTTATTGCTTGTCTCCTCATTGCTGATCATGCAGATCTGGTGTTTATTTGAATGCCTGTGCACCCAACTAAGAGTGCCTAGTGGAGTACCTGTCCATATTGCGGACAAAGATGTGACGGATTCAGCGCGTGCTCCACCGAACATGCATTCATCAACATCTGCACGGCTACAATCTAAGGTTGTATGTTACAGGCGAGAAAGCGGCAGATTAAGTTATGTCTGGTGAAAGCATTAACAAGGGTTTAATTCGATAAATTAGATCATATCGACGAAATTTGTTTCTGTCTTTCCGATTACGAAAGCTACAATATGTGTCCAAACCTTGGCCTCAATTAATGGAATGGGCTTTTATCCTTGAATCAAACAACATATTTACGTGAATACCACCAAATTTGCATACCAATTTTTTGGGTACTTAAAACTTCTTTTTAAATAATACGAAATTACGATACTATATGCAGAAAGAGTTTTGAGCGCGTTCAAATGCTTTTTACAGTCTACTCCCATGGTATTTATTTTCAGCTTTTTTTGATTTATGCATCAAAGGCTAGAATATGCAACAGCTGTGCGATTGTTTTGCCATTAACATTGATTTGTTGGCCCATTTTTCTCCAAGCGATGGGGAATCGACATTAACAACAACGGCACTCAACATTACACTAAGTCGTATGGAGGGGTAACTCTAAGGTGCTCTTGATTTTCATCAGATGTCGATTTGGATGTGAACGTGAATGTGGGTGTGGATGCTGATGATGGGAAAACGTTTTCGTACTTTTGACAAATTTTTGACAATCGTCAATTGCGCAACGAATTGCGATTGCCTCGTGTACTCCGTGAGAAAATTGAGTAGACAGCTGATGTTTTCGCCTTCGCTCACGTTCAGCTCGAAACGTAAAAAACATTTACGTTTAATCATTTATTTCAGTTCATTTGTTGCTGTTCTTGTTACCGATGTTGTTATTGGTGTCATTCATTTAAGCTTCTTTTGCAGCGATATTTCTTCCGTAGCTGCGAGTTCATAATATATATATGTATAGGTAAATACGAGCTAATGATATATTATCGGCAATCTACAGTACATCATCGTTTCGATTGACTAATGAAAATCATATGATACGATTTTAATTTATTGTTAGGAGCTCTCATTTTCAGATTTTACATATTTTATAAATTTAATTCAATAAACACAGTTTGTTTGTTTGTTTTAAAAAAAATGCACACGAACGCAATTTTCAATTATTTGCTAGCCATTACAGTAATGTCATTAATGCCTTGTAATATGTATACGTCGCCACTAACAGAATTCTTAATAGGCGAGGAAATCAAGCGAATTAATATATATATTGTATATATGTATTTGGAGGTGTGCGTGTATTTATGAAGTTAAAATCACTGAAGCATGGATGCGTAAATTCGCCTTATTTAGCAAAAAAAAAACAAAAAAAAAAAAAAACAATTAATGCACTCTTATTTACTTGCATGTGTTATTAGATACCATGTACCTAAATATGTAGCCTATGTAACTATATTGAGAAAAATTCATTTGAATTTTGTATTGTATTTAATTCACGATTTTCGATTCTAGATTTCGCTAAATTATGTGAGCATCGATTATGATTAAATTAGTTGCTGCAGTTCACATTTTAGGGACCGGTGGGAATATCTAAAAATATTTCTAAGATTTTTGCTGCCGTTAAAGTTGCACACCTTCATCAAATTCCTTTGTTTCATAATTTGTTAAATTTTTATGCTTGTCCTTAAAAAAGCGCAACAGGGAGAGTATTTTGACATTGTTACTAAAATGGTTTCCTATAAGTATGATTCATATAGCGACAAACATATATAATTCGGCTTAGCCTTGTGTAGAAGGTATAGGAAAAGGTTGTCCCTAATGGCATAGATTCTGATTTCATTTCTCTTTCTTTTGTTATATTGCCATGGAATTAAGCTTATATTGCTGTAGAAATTGTGGTTCAGTACTCAGTCCATCCAAGTCTTACAGTTCTTTACACACTTTAACAAAAAACTGAAGCAGCATTTGACTGTCTTGTGAGTGTATTATTTCTTCGTTTTGGGAAACTTAAGATTTCTAGGTTGCTTCTATATGCCATTTTCCATTAAGTCGTATGGAGGGGTAACTCTAAGGTGCTCTTGATTTTCATCAGATGTCGATTTGGATGTGAACGTGAATGTGGGTGTGGATGCTGATGATGGGAAAACGTTTTCGTACTTTTGACAAATTTTTGACAATCGTCAATTGCGCAACGAATTGCGATTGCCTCGTGTACTCCGTGAGAAAATTGAGTAGACAGCTGATGTTTTCGCCTTCGCTCACGTTCAGCTCGAAACGTAAAAAACATTTACGTTTAATCATTTATTTCAGTTCATTTGTTGCTGTTCTTGTTACCGATGTTGTTATTGGTGTCATTCATTTAAGCTTCTTTTGCAGCGATATTTCTTCCGTAGCTGCGAGTTCATAATATATATATGTATAGGTAAATACGAGCTAATGATATATTATCGGCAATCTACAGTACATCATCGTTTCGATTGACTAATGAAAATCATATGATACGATTTTAATTTATTGTTAGGAGCTCTCATTTTCAGATTTTACATATTTTATAAATTTAATTCAATAAACACAGTTTGTTTGTTTGTTTTAAAAAAAATGCACACGAACGCAATTTTCAATTATTTGCTAGCCATTACAGTAATGTCATTAATGCCTTGTAATATGTATACGTCGCCACTAACAGAATTCTTAATAGGCGAGGAAATCAAGCGAATTAATATATATATTGTATATATGTATTTGGAGGTGTGCGTGTATTTATGAAGTTAAAATCACTGAAGCATGGATGCGTAAATTCGCCTTATTTAGCAAAAAAAAAACAAAAAAAAAAAAAAACAATTAATGCACTCTTATTTACTTGCATGTGTTATTAGATACCATGTACCTAAATATGTAGCCTATGTAACTATATTGAGAAAAATTCATTTGAATTTTGTATTGTATTTAATTCACGATTTTCGATTCTAGATTTCGCTAAATTATGTGAGCATCGATTATGATTAAATTAGTTGCTGCAGTTCACATTTTAGGGACCGGTGGGAATATCTAAAAATATTTCTAAGATTTTTGCTGCCGTTAAAGTTGCACACCTTCATCAAATTCCTTTGTTTCATAATTTGTTAAATTTTTATGCTTGTCCTTAAAAAAGCGCAACAGGGAGAGTATTTTGACATTGTTACTAAAATGGTTTCCTATAAGTATGATTCATATAGCGACAAACATATATAATTCGGCTTAGCCTTGTGTAGAAGGTATAGGAAAAGGTTGTCCCTAATGGCATAGATTCTGATTTCATTTCTCTTTCTTTTGTTATATTGCCATGGAATTAAGCTTATATTGCTGTAGAAATTGTGGTTCAGTACTCAGTCCATCCAAGTCTTACAGTTCTTTACACACTTTAACAAAAAACTGAAGCAGCATTTGACTGTCTTGTGAGTGTATTATTTCTTCGTTTTGGGAAACTTAAGATTTCTAGGTTGCTTCTATATGCCATTTTCGATTTTGTTGTAACTGCTGCTCCTTTGACAAACGAGTTCCAAAAACTTTTCACAGTCGTGGCTGGTTCATTAAGCGCAGCTGCTGCCTGTTATCTCCTCCACGCACACGCACACGCACACCAACACGCACACACATGCAGCTGGTATAGCCGTGAGTGTGTAGTGTGTGTGCGAGAGTGCCTCGTGATTTATCACATGCCAACAAAAGAGCGAGCGAACGAAACGTGTCAAGTGTACAAAAACACAGTAAACATTAACAACAGTATTGAAATAAATAAATATATAACAGCTACACGAAGGCAGCCCCAAAGTGGGCCACGCCCTTTTCGGGAAGCCCATATAACAACCGAGTATGCCATGAACCCGCAGCGGGCAATAAAAAACGAAGCGAATAATCAATTGTCAGTGAGTGAGTTCTTTTGTTTAGGCACTTTTCAAGGTCGTCGCAATCGCATGTTTAAAAAGTCGTTTTTTCACGCACACACTTCACCATATACATATAACTGCTTCCATGTGCCACGCCCATACAGCAATCCGTCCGCTTGCCATTGAACTTCGCGGCTTAATGCTTTTATAATCGACTTAAGAGTTTGATTAGCGTTTGATTAGCAGACAGTCAATCAGATACGACAATAGAGCCAAGTACACCGAGCTCTTTACGGCATTGATGGATGGATACATCTGAGCTGTTTCAGCTCCGTTGATTGACAGCCCGCTCCTTGGAGCATGAGCATAAGAATATACATCTATACGCTTTTAAGTACTTTCACTTACCATGTAACCATCGTATGTCCACGAGCCGAACTTCATGAAACATGTTTGCTCGTCGAACGGAAAGTATTCGACATCAATTTCACAAAAGGATTTATAAATGGCAGGAGGCTTCCAAACCACTTTGCCCGTGTGATGTAGAATTGCTTTTGTCATTATTGTCACTTCATAGTTGCCATCGGCGCTGCAAATTAAGACATAAACAGAGAGGTAAATAAGCAGGAGAAAAGGTAATTTGCACTAAATCACTTTAATGTATTTTTTAAATCGATTATATTATTTAATATTCTTGCCATGATGTTCTTCTTTTTGCTTAAATGCGGGTTCCTTTCTAAAAATACAAGAAATAAAAGAAATTCTATGCATTTTAAGTAATGCTCAAATTACACGATAGCAATTGTGGACACCGCACGGTCAGGTTCATGTTTTCGTCTAGCAAAACGTTGATAAAGTTGACTTCATCTATTAATTGCCTCTAATGCGCTGTAAATTATGATAAATGTATTCCTAAAAATCGACCCACTTTGCAATTCTCATTAATTTTAGAAAGACTTCTAGCTATGCATGCTTTTAGTAAAATAGTTACTAGCTTTCTTGTTAATAAATGAAAGAAAATAATCTTGCGTATCTGAACTATTGCCAACACATACATAAACCTCATGTAAATATTTATGTATACATAATTCACTTATTACCGTAAGATAGATTGTAAATAAAAATTGAAATTGAAAAAAGAAAAAATGCATATATATAAAACTGTTTGTCTTGACTGACTGACTGACTGACTGATTGGTGGACAACGCACAGCCCATACCGTAGGAAACTGAAATTTTCACTGTATTTACCTTATGGGATGAAGGTGCACGTTGCAACGAAAAATCGCGAAAAAACTATTGTATGAAAAAGCTTTCTCGGAGGAAAGTGCGATTCAAAGATTTTTTGCGCTAAGTTTTAAGTTTTGTCCGATTCGCTTCAAACTTAGTTTTAAAGGTCTAGATAAAAACTTAATGAATACGTGTTTCAGCGATTTGGGAAATTCCACCCGCACAGTGGTAAATTGGTAGAAAACGTTTGTATGAAGGTTGTTTGTTTACCGTCCGATCAGCTTCAAAATCATTTTTAAAACTTTTTAAGAAAAATTATTTCGTACGTGCCACGGGCAATGCTGGCCTATATACGCTAGTATTTACATATATAGCTAAAATTCATTTCGAAAATTGGCATGGTTGGGTATTTTAGTCAGCATATAGACCTAGAAGTTTATCAGCTGTATTAGTAACGAAACTACAGAAGTTCCTATTCAAAAGTTAAAGGAAACTGTCTGACATTCAATATTTTAAAGTTATTAAGTTATTAGATGCGAATCATGTTTCCAATTTCAGAGACTATATTGCTGAAATCGTGTATTTAGGTTTAAATGTTAAGGGCTTAAAATTAATTAAACAAAAAACTTTTTAACTAAGAATGTTGGGGTTTACCATTCTGTCTTCGATTTTGCTAAGTGTAATTAACCATCATCTCACTTAGATAAGTCCCTGAAATTTCTATTAAACCGGATTTCTTACCTGTCTACATAGCTTTTTTCAATTTAAAACATTCTGACAAAGAGCTTAAAAACCACCAACTGCACACACACATAGAGACACAGATATAGATGCGTATAATAGACATTCACGCCAAGCCACATAACCATTTTCGGCAGCCATATTAACTTAACGCCATAAATCTCAGCTCTAGTATAATATTGCGGTAGACACAGGCTCGGTTTGGCTGTTCGACACCCCCCACATACACACACACACATACGCTGTCCTCTCTTTATCTATCCATTAGTCTCTTTCCCAGTGCTCGACTGTCATCGTGGTACATACGCTGGAGTATTCCTATTCCCAAAGTGCGATAGCTTTGGCTTTGTTTTCTTTAATTAAATGAATGCTGTTGACAACTTTATTATCAGCTGAACTTTGTGAAACCCAAAGCAGACAGCCACGCCCCGCAGTACTATCAACACAGCCGCAGCCACTTTATTTCTATTATTTCGAATCACGCAGGCGGTCGGCTACTCCGCGAATGAATGCATGACCTACACAGTCCCATCAATGATTCTATTTCAACTGTTTTAGTTTGCAGCATCAAAAGAAGCGAAGTAAAAACTTATTATCTTTCATTAGATTTACAAAAATAAAAATGGCGCTGAAAAATCGCGAATACAAAGTCAGCGAAACATTTTGAGCGCCTGCGGATTGCCTGCTTTCTCGGTTTTGGTTTCGATTTCGGCCCGAACAGATACAAAGATGGTGCTCAGTGTGACGCTCAGATTAACGCGCGCTGATAGCCGCAGCTGGCTGGCGATACCCATACGCCGCGTTGTCCAGTGTGTCCGTGTGTCTGCGTGCGTGTGTGTTTGTGTGTGTGTGTCACCGCGTGCCACCGCATCACCGTGAAGATAATGGCTGCAATTGTGGTGACCCCCAGGCGTGGTTTTGGTTTTTCGGTTTGGTTATAAACTTTTGTTCTCGTTCTCCTCATTTTTTTGGTCCTTTTTTTTGTTCCTTCCCCGCTGCCTTTTCGCTGTGCTTTTTGCAGCGCCATCGGCCATTTTAAATGGTTTTTAGCCATTAATGGCTGGCTCTCTGCTCGCCATAATCGTTGTAGATGCTGCTGCTGCTGCTGATGTTGTTGTTGTAATAACATTTTAAAATGCTTTGCTTTTGGATTTGTTTTTAGTGCACGAGTATGTCTGCCAGTGGCTATAGCACTGGCTCAGTCTATGCCCTGCCTCGACCAACGCCTGAAGACCTCATTGCTAATGGACGGCGCAGGCGTTGCCGCGTGACGGTGGCTCAGCCAGTGGTTATGGGCGTGTACTGCTAAAACCAACATAGGAAGCAATTTTCGCATTTAAAATAAATTTGTAATTAGAAGCTAAAATGTATTTTTAATTAGTTCTAGACTGAGTTGATCTAGCAGAAACCATTTCGTTCCAATTGCGCAACTTTTGTACTAAAGTTATAACAACCACACATATACGTCCAACACACAGATAAACATTTGGAAGCACTACCAAATTATGTTATTGCTTAGAAGCTATTATATTTAAACTAAGAGCGTACCAAATGCAGCTATAAGGTAGCAGCTGATACTTAAGCTGCTATTTGGACCTGAGTTCAAATATTAAGCTAAAAGCTAGTAGTTTTTAAAGAAAGCTGATTTTAGGCATAAGATAGAAATATTAAATGAAAATACGACTTTTTGGAACTTAAGATTATTAATAGTATTTGTTGTAGCTGCTTTTTATTTGGATCTATCTTTAAGTTTTTCTTTCTCTTATGTATTCGAAATTATTGTCAACAATTTATATATATAGAAAAAAACTGATCCGTTCTCTGTCTTATTACCCTTGACTCTTCCTATTTTTCTTTACCTCACTTACTTTTTACTTTACTATGGATATAGCTCCAAAATAAAAGAAGTTCTATCCATTGTTGTAAAAATGTGCAAATTAATGCAAAATAAAACATAAATAAACGCAATAAAAAAATGTTGTTCAAGAGCTATGAATTTTAGAATAAATCTTCAGCATAGGGTGTCAAAATGTCACTGGGTATCGAATTTCTAGTTGCATGAAGAATAGAGCTCTTACTTATTTAATTTGTACAAGGCTTTTAGCACTTTAAGTGCCAAGGAGAGCTTACAAATATTACCATTCGGCGGGCAGCCCCAGAGTATCAGACTCAATTGCAATTAATTTTAGACCACAACTAAAAACCAAAATCCAACGAGAAGAGAAAGAGCTCAGCTAACAGCTCGCTCGCATGCGATTTTAACTCCCGGGATGAAAATGAACTGCTGGAATTAAGCGGCTTTCACAAATATAAACAGATTCGTCGTCGCCGTCGTCATCGCTGGCGCCGTCGCCTTTCTGTTGTTGTCGCTATTTGGTAGCCTCCCCAATTTGGTTCTTAAAGCTTGCTTTGCCTAATTGCGAACACACACATACACTTGCACTCCGAAACTGCGGCTGTTGACGCTTTCTCGTTTTCGATGCGTATTTAATGAGCCGGTTAAAGCACACAAGTCTAATTATGCCTGGTCAGCAGAGTACCCATGGCATATATAGAGCAATCTTTCTCTTGGTGAATCGAAATTGCAATTTAAAATTTACAAACGTGCCGAAAGCGAATGCCGTTCGCTATTTGAAGTGACCCGCTAACAATTAGTACAACACGCGCACGGCCACGTCCAATAAATTACAACTTTTGAAGCTTGTTTCAAAGGCCGTACAACAACATGGCGAACATTATTTAATAGGCCAACATGGCGGTCGCGCGTGTGTATGCGTCTGCAAACGTGTGTACGTGTGTGTAAGCGAGGTAAAGTGTGGCACATACGCTGGCAGGTATTTGTACCCGTGGACCATGTTGTTGTTTTGTTACGCGTCTATGAAAGGCTCGTTCAACTATTTGTTGGCTATTCCACATTTAGCAGGCAATTAAACATTTTTCATTGCATGTAAATGGGCGCAATTTCGTTGGATTCTGAGTGTATATGTTTGTGTGTCTGAATGTGCGTATATATTTTATGCCGCTGTGCACTTGTCTTGGCGAGCAAAAAGTTGCTGCATAAAATATTGTCAGTTTCGCCGCTATTGTGAAATTAAACGCATTTTCTGCGATGCTAAGTTTTTCGACCAGTTGCATGGGGCAACGTGTCTGCATTCAAGTATACAACAACTGTGGCACTTTTATGAACAAGCATACTGCTTGATTTTATTTAATTTTTCAGTGATATGCGCTGTTTACTATCCGTTATTCATCCTTAATTTGAAATTGTTTTATTAAATCGATACACTTCTGTTAATTTTATCTGCGAAATACACATATTGGACAACGCTGGTGTATATAAAACTTGAATAACTCTTAAATATTAAACTATAGTAATAAACTCCATTGTTATTTCAAAGTGAACTTTCGCCTCTCTTAGAAACATTTTGTGATTTCTTTTTAATCTTTGAAATAATAAAATCTCTCCATGATATTAAATTTCTTTTTGAAATATATAGAAAAGCGTTTCAAAATAAATTGAAATATCTGTTTTATAGATATTTTATAACTTGATTAAATATGCTCTTAGGTGGCAGTCCAATAGAATATTCTTTCCAAGAAACTAAACTTGCATTTTGACTAAAATGGGTCAAATAAAAGGTGACAGGAAATTTCTGTGTCATCTCTTATAATCTTATGTTGGCATCAAGTTATGTGAACTTTACAGAGGCAATTTATTTCTATCAAACACAATTAACTACCAGTGTTCAAAGCGGGCAGAGGCTACTTCAACTCGAAGCGTTTAGGCTCTGATGCTCAATCTGGTAGTCGCTGTAAGGGGAAAGGCTTCTTACAGAAGCATCGCTTCATTATAGCCAGCACAAATTATTTTTGTCACTTTAAAAATTGTCCACATTGGCGGCGGCCGTCTCAGCAAACGACAATGGCGGCCACATAAAACGCAGTGCGTGTGTGTGTGTGTATTAGTGTAAGTACCATGGACTTGGTATAGTTACGCACAACAACATGACAATGCTTTTGTCGTTGTTGGCAAATGAAATTTAAGCTTTTTCCAAGCCATAAATTACGAGTTTTTATGACTCTGCCAAAACACACACCCCAAAAAGTATGCTATGCGAACAGTTGGTATTGCCAAGGCAGCAAAGCAGCAAGGCACCCAGCAGCCAAGCCAAGCCCAGCGAAAAAAACCCAGAAAAAAAGAAAGCCAATACGGCACATAAAGCGCGTAAGCCGATCTGCCAAAAGAGCGATGTCCTCTCTGGTGTTGTAGGCACAACTAAAGTGCCAGCCACATCGACAGAGTCAAGTGTTGGACGGCAAGGCATGTGTAACAGTGGAAATTATATGGGAATTCATGAGAAAAATCTAAACTGAATTGCAAGTATTTTCCAATTATTAAAATAATTAATAGGAAAATATATTGTATAGTATGTATGTTCCAATAATGTGGGCAGACCTACAGTAGTTATTTGTTTTAATTGTATAAAAACCAGCTGGAGCTCTTAGAGCCTGAGAGCTAGCTGAGGGAGGATAGAGAGCTGAATGAAAATGTATTTGGAATGGGATCCTTTCTCATAGCTTTTACCACTGTGCCGTATGCTTGCCCTGGCTTCACTCCAAGTGAAATACAACACAAGGCAAATTATAATAATTACAGCGAGCGTAGCAAAATAAAACGTCCAATTTGAGAAAGCAGACGAGTTGGCAGCCATTTTAGCTGAGCATAAAGGACTGTCCCTTCCCTTCCTTAGCACCAAGCTTCAACGAACCCTCGACCAGCTCTCATGTTACACATTGAAATAAAAATACGTTAATCATCGGCTGATAAATTGCAAGCGTAACTGTGCGCTTTGATTTATGCGCCCGTCGCGCCCATTGGGCAATTATGCAAATGGTTCCAGGCGCCAAAATGCCCAAGCTCACAGTTCGAACCAGAACGAATCCGGTCAAGGGGCATACGAAAATTAGCTGTGTACTTACTTGTTGTATAGCACAATATCCGGCAGCCATATGTGCTCGGAGGGCACATGCAGGGTATCCACTCCGCCGTAATCGTCGGGATTCCATTTTAATTTGTAGTCGTTCCACTCCTGCAACATATTTAAGTAGTTACAAAAATTGTTCAACAATTGTTCTAATAATGTATATAAAAAATAAAATTAAACAATTTATTCTAAAATAAATATGTCGTATGACAAAAGCGTTCGGTTAGATAATTTGCATTTAGATGAATATTGAATTCAATATGTAGCTCACAGTATCTGTTTGCTGGCTATTGCTGGTTGTCTGCTGCTGGCTTTATTGTTATTGCATTTAATGTTTCAATGGCTTTCCATTAATTATGCAGTAATTTATTGGTCTCTTAGCTGTTAGCGTTAAATTTAATTTTCACCATACAATTGCGACCGTAGGATATACATATATATATCTATATTGGCAGTGTCGTATTCAAAAATTTGGTGTGAAGACTTTCGACTTTCACACACCTAAAACATTTCACTAGAAGTTAAAAAAAACCCTTTCTAGAAGCATATGCATATTGGGGCGCTTACCTTTATTTGAAAGCAATATCTTTTACCTGAACATTTCATAAAGATCGGACACCGAAGCTAATCAAGAAGAAGCACATCCGCATTTATTTTATTGAAGAAGGAGACTCTAATGTTTGTAATGACAGCTTGGCACTGGACGTAGAGTATATCCTATTCAGGGACTTTTGACTGGAGCGCTCTACATGTGCTTTTCTTCTTCCGCGATAATAGTATACCAAAGGGTAACTTCTAGTCGGGCACATGAAACTGTGTATAACATAAAACTGTAATTTTATTGATTGCAACACTATTGATGTTGAATGTATGATGCATGCCACGTGGACATTGGTTGCAATTCACAATGAGATTATTGGGGTGCTCAAGCGTTGACCAAGCATGAAACGCCCAATAATTAAAATAAATGACCGTTGCAGACGATAATCATAATAAATGAAAATATTGATACCGCATTATTATTTTTATGTTTTTTTTTATACATCTTAAATCGGGTTGCACGCTGATGGTTCAGTGATTTGTAATCTATAAAACTAGTTAATTTGTCCGTTTTAATTGAACAATTGTTTGCTCATTCGGGCTTGCAAACTAATTAAAATATATGGAGCGGTAAAGGAAATGTAATTCTTAAATTTGTTTGTTTTTGCGACTTTTTGTTGTTGTTCATTTAATAGATTGTACATTTAATTGCGCTGTATGGAGTCATTTGGCTTTCTATGCAAAAGCCCGCCTAAATAGGGTATCTACAGTCAGTCGCACCACACGCACATAGATACATTTTAACAGTAATGTTTATGCGGGTGCACGTATTTGCGCCCTTGTTGACATAATGTGTGTGCATATTTATAGACGCGCAGCAATGCTCAGGCCAAACATAAATTGCAGTAACGACAGCAGCAACAATAAATATAAACAAATGTTAAAACTTGAATAATGTTTGGGTGTTCCGGATTTGTTTTACTCCAATTTATTTAACTACTATGACAGACATTTCCATTTGTAAATCTTTATTTAGCTGGCCCATTAAGCCTCGGACATACTTATGAATTCAATTATCATATGTTTTTACTGATTTAAATAGCAATTTTAAAATTCTGCAGCAAGTAACATATACAAATCCTCGGTGTTTTCATCCTACATAAGTTGGTTGTTGGCGACATAGGTTCTTCGTTTCTGTTAGGACGTCTTAAATTCTTTGTTTTGTCTAGACCTACCAGGTCCACCTAACTTTCTCTTTTCCTGATGAAATCGTTGCGTTCAGAATACTTACGGGAACTCACTGACCATTTTCAGCTCTTAGTAGGGGCATAGCTTGCCGGACAGGCTATAAATTATCCCCATCGGGTCGGTGATTTTCCAACACTATCTTTTTATCTTATTAAATTAACACTCTATATATCTAGTATATACTTCTCGTCTTCATTAACAACTTCTTTCTTTATTTTTTCCCATTTATTGTTATTATTTTTAATTTTACTTAAGAACGCTATTTTCGCTACTTATACCCTTCTTCTTAGCTGTAAGCTCTAATAGCGTCACTGACCATATTAGCTGTGAATAGGAAATAGCTGGACGGGCGGGAAAATGAAACACCTCGTTCGGTTGGTGATGCTTTTAGAAAAATGTGTATTCTAACTAGGTTTTTAGCATTTTATTTGTATGTATAATGTATTGAATAATGAGGATGGGGCTCGTGTTGTCGACCATTAATAAATAAATGCATAAAAAAATACAGTATAATAAAAATTAAATTTAAACCGAAAATGTTATTAAGAATGTATAAATTTGGTAAGTTTAACTATTATATTTAATTTATCTTTTTAATAAATTTTACATTAAAATTATTCTTTTTGATTTAATGTATACGTGGAGGATATATGTTGCTTTTGTCTACATATATTACAATAACAATATAAGAAACATATACGTCAATTATAAAAAGAATCTTATGAAATGTTGTGTACAATGTATATTTGTATAATTAATATATGTAAATTCAAAAAAAAAAAAAAAATGATGAAAATAAGTAAAATTTAATCAACATTTATGTTATGCTACTTTGCGATAGCGAATTTCAGTTGAAATCGTTTCCCAGAACACATGCGAATTAAATTTTTAATAAGCCGAAAATGATAATAGCAGAAATGCTCATGCACAAATTTTGAATAGAAGCGCGCGCACACACACATAGAAAACAGATGTGTTGCATAATTTATATCTAATTTTGGGGTTTGCTTTTGTTTTTTCAATTGGGTAACCAGAAACTAGGAATAAGCTTTTGAGAGCTATTGACTGCAATTTGTGCAGAAGATTTGTGTGCATATTTTATGCAAAAACCTTAAAGCTGTTCCATTCAAGTGCTTAAAAGCAGCTCGAAAAAACGCGCAAGTCAGACACTAGATAGAGATGTATATAGTTTTTTGGCTTTTCTCATGTTGTTTTAGTTGCAACTGCCCATCGCATTAGTGCGAAGCCAATGCACATATATGTACGCGTAGCTGCAGCAGAGTGGCCAGCGTGGCCACTTGGTCAAGTCCAAATCAACGCTTTCAATCGCACAGCCAAGGGATGGTCAGAATTGGCATTATAGGAATGTGAGGATTGGCTAGCAAAATGTATTTTGCATTTGCTTGCAGCGAAGCATGCAAATGGTGTATTCATGTTTCACGAAAACGTCAGGAAGTTTGCCAGTTGCCAGTTGCCAAAATCGCACCAACCAGCAAATAGTTTAAAAAGTAGCCAAAATAAAATTTAACAAAAATAGGAAAGTTCCACTCACCTGCTCCACCCACACGTTGGTAGTCATAATTTGATTTTTTAGATTCTGCAAAGAAAATAAATTGGGGAAATTTGGTAAGATGCGAGTTCAAGCAAGAATTCAATTTGTATTGGTAATGCAAATGCGTTTCAAGTTTGACCAAGTCTTGGCAAATGGGTCTGCCTGTTCGACTTTGAGATACTCTTTACATTGCATAAAAATGAAACTTTAAAATATTTTTTATATATATCGATACTGTTACACCTGATAGTAACTACGAGGAATCCGTGTTTCCGCCGGTTTGTGAACCCAGGTTTTCACTTCCAATATTTTTAATACTATATTCAATTCTTAAAATAAAATTATGGTTTTGAACGAAACCATTTTTACAGAAGATATATTACGGTTTTTGCTTAGGTCAGCAATTAGTCAGTAGTACATTTAGTACCTGAAATTTCACACTCAAACTGGTATTTTTTGGGTCTGTGCAATCGTAATGGAAACACTTTTAAAAATTATACGAACAGGGTGTAAAATACAGCTCAAGTGATTGGCTGAGCTGTCACCGGGGGGCTCGCGGCTGGTGGCTGGTGCAAGGTCTCAATATTTGTGACAACTTAAGCATTGAGTGGGGACCATCAAATTGAAAATCGTGGCGACCAGTGAATGTTTTTTTAGTGAACTGAACAACTTTGGTATCGGTTAACAAATGCGTTTGAAATTTGCTCAGCTGAGTGGAGGTTGCAGGGTGGAACTGTGGGGCTGTCGGTGGCTGTCAAGTAGCCCGTAGCCCCCGTCACCGTCCTGGGCTAAATGGTGCTGCAGTTGGTTTGCTTGAAGTGAGCTGCAGCAATAAGAAACAGTCAAAGTCGTTGCTGGAGACCGTATTCTTAAAGCATCATTGAGTTTTAATCAATTTATGTTGCGCAGACTGTCACTGAAAGAGAAACGAGATTAGAGTGAAATAATAAGAGTAGAAGTAAAACTGGAATTCCGGTCTGATGGGGTAGCTGATGCAATTAAAGTTAAGAGCAGCTAAACAAGCATAAAGTTTAAGCACCGCTGTGGTAAGCTGCGAAGTGGATTAAAAGTTAGCTTAACTATAAAAGCTCACAAAGCCATTTCGAGCATTAGATGAAGTGGAAAGACAAAATATACGCATAGTTCTATACCAACAATTCTTCCACAGTTAAGCATTTCAGTTGCGCTATGGTTGCTAGGAATATGGGATAAAAATGAGTAGGCAACGTGCATTAATTGGTTTGTTTCCTAAATTATATATTAAATGATATGCCTCCTTATACATACATTTGTTGTATGATGCTGATTTTGATGAAAATATCTTGAATTTTCTACGGATTCTTCATAAAAAGGTGAAATATCTTGAAAAAAATGCCGAGCGCAAAAAAACAAAAATGTTATTCTTAAATAAAAGACCTTAATTTTCGACCGATATAGTTGTCCGATCCGTACAGCTTAGACATATGTATCGCAACAAAAAAGTTTAAAGACGTTAGCTATGAAAATAATAGACTACATCGTATAGAAACAGAGATACGGGCGTATCTAGAATATATATACTTTGTGAGGTAGGATATGTCTCCTTCAATGCGTTACCCAATTTATGAGGAAACTTTAATACCCTTTACAAGGGTATAAATAAAGACAAATTTAAGGAACTTATTGTAATTAATTCTTTTTTCTGTACCAAATTAAAATTCTTGTCGAATTTTCTCGTGAATGCCAAATTTTATTTTGAACGATCTTTAGTGGTTTTTAAGACCATCTTTAAACAATTATTTTTCTAAACGTTGTATATGTGGACTTTGGTTTAAGATTACTTTCTTTGTAAGCAAAATGTATTTAATATAGTATTTAATGTCCTGCTCTCGATAAAAACATATTAAAAACTGGCGTGTATAACCCGGTCTTGCCCGAGTCACGTATAAAATTAATGTTCTCAAAAAGCTTTAAAAAATTATTTTGAAACTGATCGGTCGGCAAACCAACCACTTTCATACAAACTTTTTCCGCCAATTTACCACTATTGTGGGTGGAATTTCTCAAATCGCTGATACACGTATTCATATAATTCTCATAAAGAGCTTTGAAAGTAAGTTTGAAGCAAATCGGAAAAAAAAATGAAAACTTCACCTTAAATATTTTTGTGTTGCACTTTCCACCGAGAATGCTTTGATTTTGCGAAAAATGTGAAACACATCTCAAATGATTTTTATGTAGATCCTTAAATTCATTTGAAACGTAACCCAACAAATCTTTGAAAATGAGTTTGAGGCCGATCGAAGGTAAATAAAAAAGTTGCATTTAAACGTTTTTCCAAATTTTTCCACACTTGCCGGTGGAATTTACCGAAACGCCGTCTTAGCTCTTACGGTTTGGGCTGTGCGTCTGTCACCAATCAGTCAGAACAACAATTTAATATATAGAGATGAATAAATAATCGTTTGCTTACATACCTAGAAAAGCTCACAGAATTGTTTTAGTTTTTCGACAAAGCCAACGTGATATCTAAACTAAGGAAACAAGTAATTCATGTCGACGCATTCAGGATTCACCGCAAATAATTCAAGCATATCAAAGTGCTCTAATTTGCGCCTTAACAGATGTACGCACGGAACCATAATGTCACCTTCTATTCAGGCTCCAGAGTCCCTCCTTAATATCCACTTATATATATGGTATGTACAAATACACACACGTTAAGCGAGCAACGAGCTCGTGTCAAGCTCCTTGGCAGTTACTCGCATTATATTTACAACTGCTGTTCGCTTCCCTTTCATATTTATTTAGGTGGCAGGCGGCAAGCAACTCATTAAGCGTAAATATGTTGGGAGCAGGCGACAGGATTCAATAGAAAAAATTAGAAAACGATAAAATTGCGGAATAAATCACTTAAGCGTTGAAAAATGTAATTAACGACAAAATGATAATGACGCGTCGTAACGCGCTTTCCGTCGAGACATCCAGATAATGTCAGCAGCTAGGACGAGCGCCCCCGTTGCTGAAGCTAGAAAGCAATATGTTAAGATACCCAGTGTTAATAGATTTTACTGGTGGTTGCCAGCACACAGTGCGGTGTTGGTGGTGCTGCTGCCAAGATGACCTACTAATCACCCGCTCAGTGCGCTATCCAGGGATGCCAGCTAACAGTTCCCAGTTGCCAATTGCCAGTTGCTAGTTGGCAGCCAACGGCTAAACGTCTGAACGTCTGAAAGGTCATTAGGTGCGGGTGACGCGGAAAACGGGCAATAAAACGACAAAGCCAAGAGCAGGCACAAAGACAGCGGGCATAAGGAAGAGATAAAATTGCAGCTGCGTCAGGGCGTCGAGGACGAAGGCAAGCGTTGCGCGTATCCTTTATGCTTTATGTGCGGCATCCGCTGTAGTAGCTCCAACAGCAACATCAGCTTTCTCGCTTCGTCTCTCCGGCAGGCCATGTCCATGTCCATGTCCATGTCTATGCCGGTTCACACCTACAGCTGCCTAACTGGGTTTGTTGCTATGTAATTGGTGTAGTTTTTGTTATTGCTGTTGCGGCTGCTTGCTTATTCACACTTAGAGCTATGGCTGCCGGTTGCATTACACCGAACAGGATGCACAGGATATACAGTGTTTAAATTGCTTAAGCTGAAGCTTAAAGCATTTGAGATGCAACTGAATTTGCATTTTATGTCTGTGGCCACTGGGGCCATAGCAAGGATTCAGCAACGTTCTCGTCTTGGACTTGTTTACAATTTAAATCGAATTTCCTGTTTGCCGTAAATAAACTTTGCAATAACCGACACCGAGCTGCAACATAAAAATTCCTTCCCAGCTCTGACTGAATAAGTATTAAATAAAGTATGCAAAATGCGGCAGTTTCAATTGCATGTCGGATTCTTATAATGGTTATTATAAAATGTCAAATAAAGTTTATATTTGACTTACTGAGTTAACAGAGGTACATTACATTTAATTTCTAAGTATCTGTGTGTATACACTTGACCGTAATTGCTTTTATGCTTACTCTACATTCAACTTGGAATTTGATTTAATGTTTCTTCTCTCTGTCTCTCGTTCTCTCTCTCTCTCTCTCTCTCTCTCTCTCTCTCTCTCTCTCTCTCTCTCTATCTCTCTCTCTCTCTCCCTCTCTCTATCTCTTTCCCAGATTCACAGTTATAGGGCACAGCTTCCATATAATTGCGTTTTCGGCCAAGCAGAGCTCAAAGTAACGTAGCAACCAGCAATTAGGTCCAACTGTCTGCCTGACACCCCCTCTTCTAGACTGTCCCTTCACCAAATCTCGCCCATACATATATTTGGTCATAATTCACCTGAATGAGCAGCTGCAATGCCAGTAATAAGTAACTAATGCTACATACTGACTCGCAAATCACAAAGGTCAAGCCATAGCAAATGGAAATAGATGAAATTAAATTAAAAATACTGGCTACGCATCTGGTTGTAATCTGTTCTGCATATATACATATCCATGCACATATGTACTGCTGTCTGTTGCCAATGATTGCAATTTCCAATAGGAGTAAAAACCAACTAAACAAAGTGCAGAGATTTCGCTCGATAGCATTTACAAGGACTTGTACGCCAATAAGGAAAGCAGGCAACACGTGCATTCCAACGGCAACAACATTATTACAACAACAAAAAGTGACCATTGAACTAGTGCAATAAAAGAAATTCTGCGAATATTTCAAGCCAGTTGCCAGTTGAGCACACAGAGCGTATGTGTAATATTACGATGTGTGCATATTCTACACACACACGCATTCACACACATAAAAGCAATTTCGTTTATAAGCACCTTATGCAGAAGCACAGTGCTTGGATATGACACACTGAATCAAATACCAAACTAACCTAAAAAGAAAGAAATTAATCGAAAGAATGTAAAATTCTTTAATTAAAATGTTGAAATAAATATTTATATATGTTAAATTGTTTGCTCCACTCGATTGGCGGATCGGGAATCAATGCACAGCCGTACAGCTGGGTAGAAAAATATTCGACTGCTGCCAGTAACAAATTTCTACAGAATCGTGGATAATTTTTGAAATATTTCTTGGAAAATATTTTGGTTTTCCATCCAAAGCCAAAAAAAAAAAAATTCATTTTAAACGTGTTTTACTTTTTGAAAAATGGTCCGGATTAGCGGGATATGGGGGTCGTTGACATGTTTTATTCCAAAGGGTGGAAAACAGGGTGGAAAATTGATTAATAAAATGTAATAAAATGTAATGCCGCTTTAATAGACCTTACAATGTGCATTTATGTTCGACAAATTTTAGTTCTTGAATTACTTCTCTTTAATGCTTCTTGCCTTTTTGGGAAACCATTCTTAAATTTGGCTATGGCTTGAGAGCGCCAAGCCCAATGTGCATTGGTATGACTGGTATGGCTGGTACCGACTGTTTGGCATCCCTTTTAGTGGTCTTGGTGCTTAGCGCGTGATTTATAACAGCAAAAAAGGAGCCGAAGCCAGCAGGAAGCGAAAGACCAAATGCAGCAGGGAGCTGTAAAGCTCAGCAACTGTGTGGCCAACAGCACACGTAACTGTTAGCCAGTTTCCCATTTCCGGTTGTCATGTGCAAACCGAGCAGAAGATTGTGGGCCAATCGCTTGCCCCGTTGCTGCTGCTATTGCTGTGTTTGACTCTGCTGGCAATTGGAGATTTTTTTTCTTACACACAATTTGGCCCCGGCACTGGCCTCTGATATATTGCGCAATTTTTGCTCTCTTGATTGAGCAGTGTGCAGGGGCCCCAACTGCAGTTGTAAACTTAATCAACAAAACAATCATCAGTCGATGTACTATAAATCGCAGGGCCCATTGATTTATTATGCAAACAATGTTCACTACCAAGTGGAAGAGTTGAATCGGCGGATTGGGTAAACAGTGCTGGCTTAGTTCCACTGCCTTTTAAGCGTTTGGTAAACAGTTATTAATTACGCGGCTGCTGCTTTCCCGCGGCTTATACAAATGCCATTTGCCTGCTTACCGCTGCGCTGTTGGCTTTGCAAATTAATCTGCTTTGATTGTCATCTGAGCAGCTCAGTTGTCAAAGACTTGACAGCTAAACTTGATACCATTATTGCTAAAAACAAATTACTGTGATTTCGGTTAGCCAAATGCAAATGGTGTTTCACTAGGAGAATAAGATACTTTTTTGCTGTGGAGTATTTTAATAATCTATTTATATGTAATACCGCAACAATGAAAGATGAAAGAAAAAAAAACTAATTTTAAATTGAAACAAGTAAGAATCTAGTCAGCACTTTCCGACTAGGGAATAACCTCCTCGCGCTAGGAGGGCTCTCTTTCTTTAACAGTATTAAAGAAATGATTTATAGCTATGAAACAAAAGCCACTTGTATATTTATACAAGTTCATTTGCTCAGAAAACAGGATTTCGCAGATTGATTTTTATCTTGCTTGTAAACGCATCAGCCGAAAAAATACTCTCGGATACAACTAAGATTATTAAACAAGTAAGAGGTTCTAGTCGGGAGCTCCCGACTAGGGGATACCCTGAACCCTCTTCTTCCAACATCAAATGCATATATGTATATATTCTATTTTAGAAGCTATATGTCAAGTTTGGTGACTCTAGCTCTTATTTTTTACCAAAATTGCCCAAAAACAGGATATCGATATCGATGTTTATCGTATGTATGAACGCAAGGATCTCAGAACCTATAAGAGCTAGAGGCTTAACATTTTAGATTTAGGTGCTCCTAGTTCCCGCGCAGATCGAGTTTGTTTCCGATAATCGATAATTTACTACGTTTCCAAGCAATCGATAAAAATCGACATTGACATCCTGTTTTTTTTTTAGCAAATTGGATAAATAATAAGAGCTAGAGCCACCAAACATGATATGTTGCTTCTAGAATATTATAGATATTTCAAATATCTTTCATTTCATACCTATCGCCACCTCCCCGCTACCACCCAAGAGCTATAAATCAAGTTAATAACCCAACATTTATTGCCGATTTAAACCACAATTTAAGTGCAATTGACTTTTTCAGAAAACACAAATATTCTATGGTACAATAAGATATACTGTAGGAAATTTTATAAAGATCGTTTAAGAAAAACCAAAGTTATATGCGCAATTGAATGGGGCAGCAGCTTTAAGAATTTCTGTTTCCATGTACACACACACATTCATGTGCGTCTGCCTCGCATTCTAATAGCATGGTAATTGCATCTTTTTATTGGAATGTTATTTTAGTTCCTTTTTTTATCATAAGTACTTAATTGTTGGTGTGGCTGCTGAGTAGAGGCATAGCAAGTGGTGCGGTCTGTCGCGAGTTCGAGTCTTGCCAAGGGTTGTGTTGGAATAAGAGGGTTCAGGGTATCCCCTAGTCGGGAGCTCCCGACTAGAACCTCTTACTTGTTTATTTTTATACTCTTGCATAGGGTATTATAATTTTCTCGTGAGTTTCTTAGTATTAAAGCTATCTTAATGAAACTTTGCAGAAGTTCCTCTTTTTGTTGCACGCAGCACATATGTCAAAACCAGCTGGATCGGACCACCGTATCAAGTAGGAACCATAGGAACGATCGGTCGAAAATTAAGTTGTTGTATAAAAAACATTTTTCTTTATCAAGATGTCTTGACCAAACTCGGCCATTATTAGTTTTACTATGTTCCTCATATAAATATAAAATCCTATTCAATCGGACTACTATATCATATAGCTGCCGTAGGAACGATCGGTTGAAAATTAAGTTGTTGTATGGAAAACTTTTTTGTCATTCAAGATATTTTGATTAAACACGGCAATTAAAGATTTCACTATGCTTGCTCCCTTCATTTTTGCAAAATTAATACACATGCGCCATAGGAACAATTGGTCGAAAACTAAGTTTTTGATTAAAAACTTTTTTGTTTATTAAGATATCTTGACCAAACTCGGCATTAACTATTTTCTCTGTGCTTCGTATATACGGGCAAAGCACTATGATCAATTTGAAAAGGTTGGGCCTGCAAATGAATTAGATCTTCGGCGTGCCGAAGATAGCCTTTTCTTCTCGTTTAATATGAACTGGGTCCGTGTTTTCTGTTACTTTTATATCTATTTCAGGTTGCAATAAATTACAAACATTTTATTTCTTCTAGTGTTTAGATATATGTGTGTACTTACCACATCGATTAACTGTGACAGTTTTAGACCCATTTTGACCGTCAGACGATCGGAATTGTTGCCCACAGGTCGTATGAGTCGATTGTAGTTGCTTAGTAAATCGTCGTACAAACGTTTAGCATCTGGGTTGGCCAGGCACCCGGTCGTAAAGTGTAATGCTATGAAGACAGCTGCAAAAAGAACGCTACCCATCTTAGGCCAGGTCCAACCCTATAAGAAAATACGAAAATAGATATTTGAAACAGAATCAGAAATAAGTTATGGTTGCAGCGCTTGTAAGCTAGATCTTGCCCTGCATTTGCATTACAAATATTTTTTGTTTATTTATTTACTTTGAGTTTTCTTTGCACTGTACAATTTCTAAGCAAGCGTTGGTGAATGTGTGAGTGTGAATATGTATGCACTCATAAAATTTGCACATGTGTCAAAAGTATTGGAGAGACAGCGCCAAATGTGCACCGAGCTGCTCCGGTGCAACCATAAACACCATTTAATCTTTGGCTCAAGCACTCAAGATGGCCCAAGATAGGCTGGCTATATGTACACAGACCAACACACACCCACACACACTCACACAAACATATAAAAATATATAAAGCAGTGCATGTGTTAGCTGCATATCTCTTGCATGCTTATGTCTCTGCACTTTGCTGCCCGGCCGCATGTCCCTTGTGCTTAAAATTGTTGATATTGTTTAGCTGCTGTTAGGGGACATAATGTAGACTCTGAAAATATACTTTTCTCACTCTGGGCAAAACGTACTATTTTTTGTTGTGAAATAAAATCATTTCTTTAATGAAATCCATTAACCAAAAACATATACACCAAGATTTTTAAACACCATCAGCTTACACCATAATTATATTTAAAACATAATCTTATATACAAGGTACATAAAATTTGCTACAACTAGTGTTAGTTACAATAATATAATAGATTTTTTTTTCAAACGAGCTGGCTAGTTATTGCCATGGATATGCTGGGTGTCGAGCTCCGATCCTCCTTGTTCAGTTGCCTTACATGACTGTCTCCCGTAGGCAGCTCATCTTACACAGATCCTTGTTTAATTTTTTTGAATTTTTTAACCCAATTTATCTTAATAGATTTATATTTGGTAGCCTGAAATGCTTTTATGCACTTCAAGTGACAAGATAAATTTTTCGAAAGTGGTTTATACAGAGCCAATAACTTTGCGCTATACTATTTCTTCATATTGAGCCCATCGTCTTCAAATAAGTTTCATTTATACTTCGTCACGTCTCTGGTCTGTGCATTTTCTGGAAAACTTTACTTTATACTAACTGACAAGCCCAAGTGCTGCAATGTTTGGGTACATTAAGCACAAACAAGCATTTCTCTTCATTTCTTTTATGCGTTACAATTACATGATGTTCCTGGTATTATTTTCTTCTACTGAACGACAGTATTTTTGTGCTCATGCCCTGGCTGTACTGTGCATCCAATTATGAAAAGTGTGCAAGTTTTTTTGTTTACGCCAGAATTCTTGTAATATGACAATTTTTTTATAGAAGTGCTATTTCTGGATTATGATAGCAATGTTACCAAATATATGTAGTACGCAGCATGTTTGGCTAGCTTCATTGTTATTGATTCTGGTAATTGGTTAGTGCAACAGTATGCATGTGTGTGCTCCACATGCACAATGTGCGTGTGTTGGTGTGTGTGTACAATCCATTACAAAATTGCGTGGCGGACAGCAGATTTTGCAGTGTTCTCTGAAACTAACCAGACTTGTATCTGTATGCTAGCTTTGCTTTGCTGTCTAAATAATAGATATGCTATATACATATGTTGGCATTTATATGTAATTGGCTGTTTGTTTTACTGATTGTCATATGAGCCATCAACCCTTTGAAAATATATATAGCAAAAGCAATTGAATCAGTATGATTATACTTGTTGCTAGTATCAGACTAATTAAAAACATTACATATATGTATACCCGTGTAGATGATATTACTATATTATTGTTTTGTCAAAAAATCAATAACGCATAGAAGCAGACATGTCCGACTTCGTAAAGTACATGTATCCAGAAATGCAAAACACTATATCATACCACTATATCATAAAACTGTTATAGGAACTATCAGCCAAAAATGGAGTTCCTTTGTGGAATTTACAAGTTAAACTATGTTGATAATATATAAGCCATTTATTTTCACATCGCACTACTATATCAAAAATTTGTATAGGAAGACACTGTAGAGAGAACAATTTTTTTTTTGTATATTCTGTTTTCCAAGACATTTTCATCACTCTGCACTTACTAGCTTTACCTTTCACATATCTGCAAGCTCGTTATGCAAATGAATACATGGGAATTAAATTCATCAGAGCAGATATCCGTACTTTATCGTTTGGTATTCTTATAACTTTCAAAACAGGTTTACTAAATTATGATGTAAATAATATGTAAAAGTTTCGTAGTTTTCGTAGTTTTCGTTAATATAATTCAAGTATATAATACTTTGAGGTTCGAGGGGCGCAGGGTTCTTTACTTTATAATCACAAGCTTAATTTTCCAAATACGAATCTAAACATTTTCTACTGTCTATAATTCGTCTCTAAGAAATACAAATATTTCGTTGATACTGAATTCAATACGAAACATCATTTTTGATTAAAATTTGTATCTGTTTGCTCTATTGCTCACAGTACTTAAGATCTGTAAATTGCAGCTAACAATAAATTGTGAAGTGCATAGAGCGCAAAACTTTCAATTTGTGCTCTTCACAAGTATTTGCTTCCTTCTCGCTAGGCAAAAGTTTTGCTCAACATCTTCTGCAAAATCTCAAATATAATGAAAACTATAAATAAACAAATAAACGAGAACAGCAATAATTTGATGCTTGAATTTTGGTCAAGTACGTTGAAATTTTGATCTGTCTGCGCCAGAAGTCCTTATCCATGAAACTATCTGTGTGCGGACAAGTTTTGGCTTCCTGCAGGGAAATTGCAAATGTGGCTCCTGCCCACACATGCAGAACATCGAGAAATATCTAACCAATAAACTGAATCAACACTTGCGCTGTTCTTAGGTGCGAAATTAATTATGCTAATTTTATGTTAATGATTTGTAATTTGATGGCATTGATTTGACATTGTTGCTGCCGTCAACGTTAGTCGCTTCTAAAAATCCACACCCAGCGATATATCAAATCACAATTTGCCAACCATCTTGTCTGCATAATTCAGCGTTTATGTCTGAAGTGACACGTACATGTGTCAGTGACCGCAATGACAGCAAAAAACGTACGAATGATGGCGTCAACATTGCGTACATAGATACGAATATTTGCTGAAAGGCACACAAAATGGCGACACACGCGAACACACACACATACACATGTGATGAGCGACAACAAAATGGTTGCCATAAAGAAGAACAACAGAAAATGAATGTCATTCGACAGCTATTTATGCGCCTTTTAGTTGGCAGATTATTTCATTTCCATTCCCACATATCCATTTATCCATTTATATTTATATTTATATTTATTTGTTTTGGCGCATACATATTTCGTGCTCCGTTTTTATTTGATATTTGTTAATACTGCGTAAGCGTAACATCATTTGCTAACTGCTTATTCATTTTTTTCGTTTTTGTGCTATCCGTTAAATGTACATAGGTGGGACAGCTTGAATTTAGCTCAATTCAAAGTCGCTCTAAACTTATTTCCAAAGGCTATGTAAAATGTTAATTGAGAGGGGATTTGTTGATTGCGAAAATCTTATCAGCTGTGTGCAAGCGGAGGTATAAAGTAAATATAATTATTTTTGCTTAAGCTGAATTATCAGCTTGTGCATTTGTTATATAGAAACTAACATGTATAGCAATAAATTTTTGTATTATCGTAGGTATATGTATTTAATTCACTGAATAACTCCGGCCAAAGAGTCTTAAAAGCACTGTTAAAAGAGTATTATACACAAAAGGGTGCTATTATGGTACTTATACAATTTTCTTGTATGGTTGGATTAATTTTGCGAAGGTTTCATAATCACACACGAAAGTTAACAGCTCCCAGAAAATTAATTCATTTTTTAATAACTTGTCGTGAATATAATTAATAATAATTATTATATTGCTTATTTCTATATATAAAACTGTTTGTCCTGACTGACTGATTGGTGATCAGCGCACAGCACGGTAAAAGCTTGGAAGCTGCAATTTTCACTGTAGTTAATTTATGTGATGAAGGTGCACCATAAGACGGGGCTTTGGGGAAGTCCACCCGCAAGTGTGGAAAAATCGCGAAAAACTTTTCTATGAAACTTTTTTGTTTATCATTCGATCGGCCTCAAACTCATTTTCAAACATCTTTGTTCAAATGAATTTGACGGGTGTTAAAGATTAGGTGTTTGATGTTTTGCGCTAAAATTCATTTCCAAGGACTCATAAGAAAATTCATTTGAGACCTGTTTTACATTTTTCACAGAATCAAAGCTTCCACGGTAAAAAGTGAAACTTAATTTTTTTTATGTTGATGTTGTAATTTTTTCCGATTTGGTTCAAATTATTTTTAAAGTTATGTATAAAATCTTAATGAATACGTGTTTTAACGATTTGGGATATTCCACCCGCTAGAGTGGTAAATAGGCGGAAACGTCGGAGGTGCTTCCTTCTGCCTGTTACATACATTTGGATTTCGCACAAATACAATATACCCTTAAACCCATTTTTAATGGGTTCAGGGTATAAAAAGAAACCATTTTGAATAATAAGAAGTCATATAAATTATATTTCCAATAAAGTAGATTATAGGGCGTCTCTGGGTCGATCTCTTTTGAGAAAAATTGTGTGCCAAAAAAACTGACAATGTAAATAAAGAAACTATTGAAATTCACACCGTTTTTGACTGGCCGACAATTTGATTGTTGCCTAAGAATTTGGCGAACTGAACATATCTTTCAACGTGGTAACTATTTGATGTTAATTTCAAACTGAGCCCTTGTGCAGATGTAGCTACTGTTGCAGAATGTAGAATGCAGCGCATTTTTAAGTAGGCGGCTTCACAAACACAACAGTAACAACAGCAGTAGCAGTAGCGGCAGTAACAACATCGCAGCATAACAATGCCGGAAATGACGTCGGCGGGGACCCGACTTTTGTTGTGTGTATCAGTGTGTGTGTGCTTGTGTATATGTAGGTGTGCATGCTCTCTAGT